ACCACTGTGCGGTGACGAAGCATCGACCAATGTGTGTTTGTTTGAGTTTGGGGAGGGAGATGTGGGTTTGGTGAGTTAAGCAAGACGCGAAAGCACAAGCGCCCGCATTCTCTCGGCTGCCTTTCGTGTCCGTATCTATGTGTGTATGTATGGATGTTTGCGTGCACATGCCTGTATGTGTGTGTGCCTGTGGTGAGCTTAGGCTTGCCTTGGCTAAGGCGAATTGTTGCGTGCGACGCCGACGCGAACAGAGTCCTGATACTGCTGCTGTTGTTGTTGCTGCTACGCTGCTGCTGCTTTTTGTGAGCTTTTTTCCTTAGTCTGCCGTTGTATGGGTGCACGCAACACTAAAAGTCAATTGACCCGAAACTGTTGTATATGTAAATATGTACATACCTACATACATACATACATTCGCTATGTATATGTAAACAACGAATGCAGCACTGCTGGCAGATTTTCATTCTTTTTTTATATATTTTAAATTCACTTACAGGCACATAGACAAGTACATATGTATGTATGTATGTGTGCGTGTGCATGTACTCTCAGAGTTTGTTTTTTTTTTTTTTTTTTGCTTACTTTTTTTTTTAGATCCGTACAAATCACACACAAAAATCTGTGTTGCCTTTACCAATTTTTTTTTTTTTTTTGTGTTTTGCTTTAACATATGTGCGTGTGTGTGTGTGTGTGTGTGTTTATATGCATGTATGTGTGTACGAAATGTATTTCTTAAACGAATTCAGTACTTTTAGTTGGTGGTCGTTGTTGTTGTAGCAGTTGCTCCCGCTATTATTAGCGCAATGTGAGTACAAAAACAAAAGAAAGCAACAACAACAACAGCAGTCGCCGTTTCGTATTTTTTGTTTTTTTTTTTTTTTTTTTGTTCTCTATTGTGTTTGATATTCCGCAATTGTTGCTGTTGCCGTTATTTTTGTTGTTTTTGCTGTTGCTGCTGCGGTTGTTGTTGTTGTTGGTGCGCTGTGTCATGCTTTACTTTTCAATCTATTTATGCTTTATTTTCATTTTCATTTTTCTTTCAATTATTTTGCTCACACAATATATCGTTCGCTCTCTCTTTTGCACTCGCCCACTCTTCTTCTTCCTCTCTGTTAAGCTCCCACGCATGAATTCATTAAGCAGCAACGGCATCAGCTGCACCATGCACTCTGCATTTGCCGCTAGTGTCAGCAATTGTCAGCAAAGAGCGTAAATTGCTAATTGTTGTAATATGCATATAATTAACTTATGTGCAATTTTCACCTGCAAACTGGCAAAGTGCGCTCTCTCTCTCTATCTCGCTTTTTGTTTATTTTGCAAATGCAATTTACATCAAATTCTATGCATAACTGTTGCGACCTCTGCCCTGACTCGACTCGACTCGACTCGACTCGTATATCAAATTTACATCGGACTAAACTTGACTAAAGTTCCATTTGTTGCGTACACAAACTAAGGCAGTAAAGCTCAGACGGCAAATCGGTTAATAGGTTAATCGGTTAACCGTTTGCATTAAGCAAACAATGAATGTAGTCTGCAGCACAATTGAGTGAATGGAGAAATGAAAAGAATGATTTTAATGTTCGAAACATGAATTATAATAATTAAAATTTGATAAATCCTTTAATGATTTTTTTCTTTGACAATTATTATTACTTTGTAAATGTTACCAATATTTATTGTGTGGTTACTTTAAGCCATTCATACATTCTGATTGGAGATTCGAATTCTAATTTGTCAAGGCGAACTCCTACATATTTCAATTATATGTACCAAATAGCTAGACAGCTCTATAACATTATTCCAATCAACAATCAGCAGAGCTAGTGGATTGGCATACACATATGTATATTATAGCTATATATTCATTTATATTTTGATAGTTTGTCAATTATCAGAAACACTTAGTCAGCGCAAAGATCTGGTAGAGCTGATATGGGGACAGCTTTTAGTAAATTAATGGGGAACGTTTAAAAAAAAAATAATTGAATTTTTACTAGATAATTCAAGATAGTGCTAACATTTATTGTTTATTGTATATCGAAATCGAGTCTAGGGAATGAATATTGTAAGCTACGATAGAGAGAGAGAGAGAAAGAGTGCCTTTCTGCTGATACTATATTCTTCATTAATAATGAATAATGACAAATTTAAGTGTGTAAGACACTCGAATATAGCAAAATATCTATTGTCGATATTTATCGATTTACTAAATATTAACGTATACGTTACTTTTGATTTATGTGAAACATAAAAGCCGTTTAAATATAGCAAGATATCGAACAGCGATACTAATCTATTAGCCAAATACCCAAGTTTTCGTGTATTTTATGAACCAAACAGATGCTCGAAATTTATCGATTTACGCGAAAAATTTGAAAAAAAAAAGTATGAAATAAGAATAAGCTCGCTCTGACGTTTTGACATCGAATTCAGCTTCAAAATACCCAGTAATGTGCATTCAGATTTTATAGGCCTACCATACTACAAATACCTTCAATGCCAAGCGGCAATTCGATTCTGATTCCATGACTTTTATTTGAGTTTTAATCAAATTGAATTACAGATTTCGGAGTGCATTTAAAATTTTTGAAAGTTGATTCGAAGCCACTGATGCAATGTGCATATGTCTTTATGTACATATGCATGTTAGAACTACGTACAATTAAAAACAACAAAAAATAAAAATAAAAATAAATAAAAAATACATTTAGCTAACCGGGTCATCAGCTAGCGTTGATGCGGGCCAGCGATTGTGTGTCGCATTAGCGATTAAAGCCAACGGGAATTATAAAAATGCATCACACATCAAAATGCATTTTTCTCGAGAGAAAGCATACAAACAGAAAGGAAAAATGAAGAAAAGGAAAACCTTGAAGAGATGTCCATGCAAATACACACACACACACACAAAAAGAAAGAGAGAGAGAGACAGAGAGAGGCGCGCGCGCGACCCTGGATGGAGTTTGGAGTCGAGGCTGTACCGCTCAAGGACAACCAGTGAGCTGACTCCTTGCAACTTGCATCAATTTCTTTTTTTTCCATTTTTGCTTCCCATCTTCTTTTTTTTTTTTTAATGTTTTGAGTTGTGCTTGACAGCAACAAATAGAAATAAAAAAGTAGGAGAAAAAAAAACAAAACTAGTGCACAGGCTGCGACGCTGGCAGCGTTAGCGACTGCGCAGCAACAGCGATAACAGCGTCAGCTAAAAAAAGTTATGCCCCATCATCAGCCTCCTGCCCGCAGGAGGCCACCCAGTCAGCTATCCTCCCCAACTTCTATAGCATGAAAATTTTCGTTGTTGCTTTTGCTTGGTGTCCTGTCCCGCACACACATACACATACACGCACACACACACGCATACACAACGTCGCAGTCGCAAGCACCGTAATTTACGTGCGGCTCTGCTCTCTTTCACAGAAAATCTCTTGCTTGTTTGCACACACGCACGCACACATGCACGAGTATATACTCGTGCACAAATACATGAGCTTTTCGTCTTTATGAATTTTACTGTTATTCTGGAATCTCTCTTGCCCATTGCCTTTGATGTATACAGCATCTACAGTTATTATTATTTTTGTGTTACATTTGTTTATTGTTATTTGGATTTGACTTTATTTTTAACACACACAAGCACACGGTTGAGACGTTAGAATTTACAACATTTTTGCATGGTTTATTTGTAGAGATGTTGAATAATTAAATACATACATACATACATATTTATATGTAATAGTATGCTAACTTTAAATGCATACATACATACATATATATTTTTACATGGACATACATACATGTACTTATATACATATATAAATATGTACGTATGTATGAAATGGGCACACTGTTATTTCTCACTCGTTGCACTTTTTGGCGTATGTGGTTTGGGGCGGGGGCGCGTGTATCTTTCAGCTTTTATGTTCTGCCATTTGGCCAATTGGAAAATCGAAATGAAAAAGAATGCAAAAAAAAAAAAAAAAAAAAGAAACTAACACCGCGGTCATTGAGCCGATTTTGTTTTTTGTTTTTGTTATTATGATTTTTCTTTTAAATATGTACCTTGAGTATGTTCCTCATTTACATACATGTACTTATGTGGGAAAAAAAAAAAAAAACAAAAAATTCGTTTTCATACACACACGCACATCAGAGCACGTCTTAGTTCAGTCATATTGGAATTATACATATGTACTTCGCAGTATGTATGCATACGTGTGTGTGTGCTTCCAATTGGCGTTTGTTGCTAGTCCGTTCGTTGCTCAGCTTTGAGGCTGCTGAGAATTTGGTGCTTGCTGAGCCGTCGCAGCAGTAGCGTTTGGCGTCGCCCCCTCTATGTAGTTATGTATGTTGTGTGTGTGGGCTTTATTAATAACGCACAATTTCAGAAGAAAAAAAAACAACAAAAAAAATCATTTTTCTTGCAATTTACCTTTTGAATATTATTGCTACACTTTTTTGTTCACACAACGACGCAGACGCACGATAAATTGATTCGAAGCAAATTTCTAACGCGCTCCCGCATACACGTCCGGCTGAAGTTTCAACGCAAAAGTAGTGCTGCAGAAACAGTCGAAGCGACTATCGATATTGATAGGGGGTCGATTTTAATTCGATAAGAGTCCGCACCGATAACTAATCGATTTCTGAAAGCTCAACTGTAATACAGCTTAATATTCTGCGCCAACAAATTCATCAACCACTTTATTTCATTTCTTAACAACAGAAATAAATTGAATGGCAAAAGAGTAAAATAATATTTTATGTTAACAGTAACAGTTGTTGCCGTGCAGTACGTTAGAAAGCGCAAAGCTGAGAGGGGTAACTCGTAACGCATATGAATTAACAACGTAATGCATATTGTTGCGACGTAAGCGCAATTGGGAGCAACATGTGTGTGCAAAAGTGAGTCTATGCAACCTGGCGACGCAATGTAAACAGAATGTTATGTTATGTTATCGGCATGCAAACTGTTATGTCGAACTCGTTCACAACAGAGCGACACAGTGGCAAAGTGATGATGTTTGCGGCGAATGGGGGGTGAGAAAAACGCACAAAGTCAGAGCAGAAAGCAGAGTGGGAGAGAAGGTAACAAAATTACAAAGTTAAAATTCGTATGTTAAACAACAAATGTATATTTCGCGATTGTGATAAAATTTAGTCGTTTATTGCCTTCGCCAACGCACAGTTCAAAGTTAGTGGAAATATACATAGAAATATATATAAATATATATGCATATATATTTATATATATAAATACATATACCCGTTGCATATCCCTGCCCAAAATCACACAAAGCAGCAGCAACAACAACAATAGCAGCTACAACAACAATAACAGCTACAAATTGACCATGAACAACGGATTCAGCACCGGCGAGGAGGACTCGCGCGGTGGCCTCACGGACCAAACATGCTGCCTGATCGACGACATGGAAAGGTGCCGAAATCAGGCCGGCTACGCCAGCTACAGCAAACGGATACAGAAGACGGTGGCCCAGAAGCGCCTCAAGCTGAGCAGCGATCCCAGTGCGCAGCACATTTACATCTGCGACTATCACAAGGAGCGCATCCAATCGGTGCGAACGAAGCGACGACGCAAGGACAGCGAGGACGATAGCAACGAAACGGACACCGATTTACCAAACTTTCCCGATCTCTATCAGCTGAATCTGTCCGCGCTGCGTCGCTACAAGCGCCACTTCAAGGTGCAGACGCGGCAGGGCATGAAGCGGGCCCAATTAGCGGATGTGAGTGCGATTGATCAAAGACAATATATAATACTAATTAAAAGAAAAACTGTATTTATTGCAAATATTAAATAATGCCCATTGCTCATTTCAGACCATCATGAAACACTTCAAGACAATACCCATCAAGGAGGAGTCGGAGATCATTACGTACTTTGTGTATATGGTTAAAATGGGATCCAATAAATTGGATCAGAAGAATGGCATTGGCAATGATACCACCTGAACGCAACTCTGTCGGCTGCCGCGGTATCGCTATCGCCCTCGTTATCGTTATCGCTATCGTTATTAACGCCGGCTGCTGAATAACAGCGCTAGCTATCCCACTCACACTCCCACTCACAGACACACAGACACAAGCTATGCGTACAGTGAAATCGAATTAGGCGCAATTGTTATTAAAACTAGGTTTTCCTTTTTTTGCGCATCATTATGATTAATATTATTATTATTGCGAAGAGTATTTTTTCAAATTTTTTTTTCCAAAATATAATTACTTTTATACACAGAAGTGTTTGGCATGAGATTTATGCCGCCCAGGGCCGGCCCTGTTTATTGAGTAGGAAAAATGCCACATTATTTGGATAATTTAGAGCAAAGTAAAAAATTTCAATTTTTATAATGAACTTTCAAACGATTTTTCAAAATTATGCTTTAAGTTAAAATCAATATGCAATTATTTTGCGACCCTTTAGCTTCACTGTACTTCGTTAGCTGCGCCTGACCCAAATATCCCCTGCCTAAGCACTGATACACACATACACACACACAGGAACAACAAAACACTGCTGGTGCTCCCAAAATAGTATAAACGGAAACTGTTGCAATGGAAAAAACAAAAGAAAAAACATTGAATAGTAATAGTAGCGTTTGTTGTTAATAGCTCATTATACAGAAAGAAAAGAAAATCATACAAATTTTACATAGTTGTTAATGCTATGTATATATGCATATGTATATAGATATATATATATATATGAAGGATGACCCAGTTTTGGGGCCAAACGCAACTAATACATTTACCTAAGCCTTTCATTACATGCTGTTTGTCAACAATTTAGCCAAAAGCAATCAAATAAAATTCTAAATCTGCCAACGTGAAATGTAAATGAATAATAAGAACCACAATCAAGTACTTCAGAACATTCTACGTAAAAATTACAAAATTGTAAAGAAAAGAAAAAAAAAAAAAAAATCGAAGAGAAAAGCTAAGCAGAATACCTGTTTATTAATATACAATTATTAAAATAATTATAACTAAATTGTAAATGTAATTTTAACATATTGAATTTTAAGAACTAATTTCTAATGTAAAAAAAAAAAAAAAAAAAAAAAAAAAAAAAACTGAAACTAAAAAACATTTTGAAATTTGATCAAAATCTGCCGTCTTCGGCTCTATGCTCGTTCGCTCGCTCGCAAACAAAAAATTCAGAAAATAAAAATCGAAAAACCCTTGCAGAATTGTTATATACACATATATTCTACCAAATGCAGATATTATTATAGATTATATAGAAGTAGTTTGATCTCTTCGGCTGTTGTTCCCTAAGAGCCTTAAAACTGCCTGACTATTTGGTAAATGCTTATAAACGAGATTGGTTATACGTTAATTATCATCTGCAAGGGTCTAAACAAATGTGCGTGTGGCAATAAAAAGCAAAATGTTTTTTCATTTCATTTACAAATTGAAAGCACTTCTCGTTTTATTCGGGTAGCAATTAATAATAATGAACCTTAGTAGAAAATATACATGAGAATATTGTTTTAAAAAAATGAAACGTGTATTTTACTTACTACTGGAATATAATTGTAAGGAACTAACAACTATCCGCTAAATTCAGAATGAAAAGAAAAAAAAAATGAAAGGGAAATAAATGGAAATGAAGGGTTCGCCATGCCATTCAATCGAATGCGCGGGTTTTTGAAGTCAGATCTTTTTAATCGATATTTATTTCGTTCTGAAACATAATTCTGAGTAATCGATGTATAGTGTGTTATTTGAGTAACTCACGGAATGTAAACACTCGTTGATTGGCACCACTGGTATTTGTTATTTAAATAATTATCGATATTTTAGTCGATAAGCTCTCACACCTCTAGCTTAGTTCATTTTTTGTGGTGGTTAACATACAAATGTGCTGCGTGCTGATTTTTAACTGGTGTCAATCGTATTCATATTTAATATCTAAATTGCTCCGACGCAGTAGATTCTATTAGGCAACTGGATCGTATCTTAATTGTCTTGGCGGACCGTCGCAACGCCAAGAAAGAGGGACTCGGCACACAGATTAACCAACGCTACATACAAAGACCCACACACACACGAAGAAGCGTGCGTGCTAGTGTGTGTGTGTCTACGTACGTGTGTATGTTTCAGTGTATTTGTATGTGTCAGTGCGTGCTGCTGTCGTCGTTGTCGCTGCTAAGAGGAAGCAGAATCAGCAGCAGCAGTCAAAGGCCGTCGGTGGACTCGAAAAAGGAGTCCAAAAAGTTTTAGGGAATCGCAAACGACTTGACGGAATGCCGCACCAATAATATAATTGCAATAATCGTATCAACAATAACAACAAACACAACAACAATAGCCAGCGATCGATCCCGTGCCCTCCATCCCACAACCCACACATAGACACACAGAATGCAGCAACAAGAATCCGGTGGCGAGGAGAGCTGGTTCGAGGAGCAATGCCATCGAGAAATAGCCGGCCAGAACGATGAATACGAGCGCGAGTTTGTGCGTCAGAGCGATAACAATTTGAGCACCGTCTGGGGCGCATTCCAGGACTCGGCCACTGCAGTGGCGCAGCTCTATCGCGGTAAGTGGCCCCAAGCGTCCAGTGCATCCTTGTGGCAAAGTTCTTTTCCCTCTTCGCCTCTCCGAGTCAATTTTGTTTATGATATACTCTGCTACATTTCTATTCGACGTATAATATCACATGCATACACATACATATATACACATGCATGTACACATCCGATGTGTGTGTGTGTGTGTGTGTGTGTGTGCATAAAAATAGTTTGGATGAGCATATTAATAGCGACCGTGCAGCCTGCCTGTCAGGCAACAACAATAATAATAACAACAACAACAAGTGCATGTATACAACAGGCCCGGCTTTTAAGCTCTAACCCAACGCTTGTGTATGTGTTTGAAAGTTTGTTGGTGGCGCTGCTGCTGCTCTTGCAGGCATTATTCACACGCCTTAAAATTCTCCACATTTTCTATTCTCCCCATATTCGTTTGCAATCTACGCATTATCAAACTGCAGCAAAAGGGCCTGCAATGCAATAGATGTGTGTCTCTGTCATGAGTTCGGTTTTTGGTGTTCCTCTTTGAATGTAGGAAAGAAAAAAATAAAAAACACGAACGAAGGGAAAGCAGAAACGTAATAACATTTGCGCTGCGCAGCGCAGAGCAACAAAAAACATCATTTGATTGTCCTTAGGAATTGACATGATACTCTCTAGATTTTCCATTTATTTATTATTATTTTTGTTTAACATAGCTAAATGTTATTTGTAAAGTATCTCTGTGCATGAGTGTGTATATACATATATGTATGCATGTGTGTGTGTGTATGCATAAATATAGTGCGTCATTTACGAAAAAAAAAAAATATAGCATTTGACAAACAGCTGTTTTGACAATCGATGCTGAGAGTGGAAGCTGATGCTGCGGCTGCTGACGTCGCAGTCGCCGCCTCCGCCCTAGCGGCATATGTATATGTATTGTCTTTGCCTCTTCTCTTCATTCTCATTTTTGTTATTGTTGTAGCTGCTGCTGCTAGCTGAACCCAAACGTTTCTAATGCTCCTTATTTCCGTTTCTTTTGATTACAATACATATGTATATGTACTTTGTATATGTATATGTATATATAATCTGGTTTCTACTGCTATCTCGCTTGCACTCGCTCACTTGCCCGCCGCATTGTCGTCATTTGCTATTGCCGTATGCACTGCGGATCAATAACGGCAAGTTGCTTTTTGGTCCTTTTCCCTGTGCCTTTTGTACATGCAGCAGCAGCAGGTGCTGTCCATTGCACCGAGAGTGATAGAGAGATAGATAGAGTGAGACAAGAGAACAATTTCCCTAGGCGATCTTTCTGTCTGCATTATTTTCGCTGTTATTTGATATTCAATAAATAACCAGCTGATCTAAACGAAAACAATTGATAAACTGAATAGCTGGCAAATTTACAAGCCACTGTTTATATATGAATATAAGCAAAGATAGTATGGTATATATATATATATGATGTTTCATATATAAACAACTGAACTAATTGTGCGTAAAAAAAAAATTATACTTTGATTTTTTGTTGGTATTTTTGGAGAATCAATGCCTAAAAAATACTTACGAATTTAGAATAAACTGAAAATATTATTTTAATGGATTTAAATTACTAAGGAAGTAATTAAACTATTTAGAGCATAAAATAATTATAATAGTCGATTTTACTATTTATTTAGTTTATTAACTTTAATTCGCATTAATTGAAAATATTTTAGGCTATGAGATTTTAATTATTGTAGAAGTTAATTAAACAATTTAGAGCATGTGGAATGATGAATTTAATATTAATAATAGCATTACCTACGCATTCAGCATAATACTCAATAATAATGCAGTTTCCTGGATTCATTTTTTTTATTATTATCTGCAGAGCGCTCTTCCAACACATTTTCTTCAGAGACTGGGGCACTGTGGCTGCCCTTTCAGACCGCAGCTGGCACTGTGACAACACTCTACAAAGGTGAGCAGCGAACCTACCGACTGACGACTGATTTGACTGCTGCCCTCTCAGGCTTGCATATAATATAATAATATATGTATATATTCTAGAATCATGTGATGGTCTCAAACGCACCAGCGACGCTGCCATACAATGCGGCTACCAAAGACGCACACGCGAATTGGCCGATTGGGCGCGCAGCAAAAAACGACGCATGATAAGGCGAGAGGATCTGCTGGCGTATTTAGCCGGAAAGCCGCTGCCAACACAACCAACGAATCCACATGCCAATCGTCGGTGAGTCCGACATCTAGGGCCGCCGAGCACATCCATTGAACTAATTTTTACTCTCACTCTCCCTTTCTCTCTCTCTCTCTCTCTCTCTCTCTCTCTCTCTCTCTCTCTCTCTCTCTCTCTCTGTCTCTGTCTCTCCCTTACTCTGGCTGTCTCTATCGCACAGGTCGCCTAAGCCAGAGCACCATCAATGCGGTGGACTGCATCACCATCAAGTGAACAGTAGCAGCAATAGCGTCACTGGCCCGGCGATAGGCTTTGCCAGCAACGGACTGAACATGATGCCACCCACCGTCGGCGGACAGCCAACGCATTTGCTTAGCGCCGCCGGGGCTCAGGCCTCAGTGGGCTCCACTGGCGGCATCGGAGATGATCTGCACACTTTCAAGGAGGCCTTGGTTTTGCGTCCACGGTAATTATTACCAAATACGTTGAATAGAGGCGTGCCCAGACTGTAGAAGAAGCCTTCAGTTTGTCATGCATCAATGCAGATTACTTTCCAAGTATATAATCACTTGTATAGTCAAGAGAGCATTGCTTATCAATTAGTTTATATAATATTTTTATATTATTTATTAATTTTATAAGCTTTGCCAACTAGTTAATAGTTGATTATTTGATATGTTACTATTTAACAATATGCTAGATTGAATAGCTTAGCCTAGCCTAGATTGCTCGATTTTAGTGGTTTTGTATTAGGTTTATGTGTGCGTTGAATAGAATATAGATTGAATTAGAATACATCGTCAAATCTCATATTAATTAGTAAACCAAATTATGAGAACCGATCTTATTTAAATCCATTGAAAATAAGTAGAGTTAAATGATTAATGAGATGGAAGGGTTTGACCGACTCTATAATGTTTACATGTACATATTTATAGATATATGTATATTTATATGATATCAATTTTTCTACCTGCTCACAAAAGTTCATTTAAGTTCGATTGAACTTATCGGAAAATAGCCGATGATAATAACCATGATATCGGAAAATAACCATGATATCGTTTAAAATCTATAGTGCATGATACTAGCATACATTTATTTATTTATTTATTTATATATATATATATCAATATCAATTTCTCTGCCCGCATTCGAGCATTTAGACAGATTTAATTATTATTAGCATACTCGTTCATGAAGTTAAAAGGAGTATATTGGCTTTGTGAAATGTTCGCCCGTCTGTCATACTAAAGACTTGATAGTCATACACCGCTGTAGCTTTGCCCTATAAGGTGTTAAATTCTCTCCAATACACACACTTGGAGCGAAATAAATCCGAAATTACTATAGTTCGTATAGAACGTACAGAATATAGATTTTTCAGGTGTTACATGGTATTGAATTTTGAAATGTGAAAGCCACAAATATAAAAATCCTTCACAGTTTTTGGGGCAGACCCATTAAATTGTGCAACTCTTGATGTTCCGATTCTGTATATATGGGAGTTATTACCATAGAGCTCGACCTAAAGTTAATTTATTATAGACCTTCACTTGAGATTCCCGAACATTATTGAACTGTTTTCGAAGTGTGAACGAGTGTTATGAAGTCGGTAGTGCACGATTGTAACATTCTTACTTGTTTTTCTTTTTAGTATGAATGACCTGTGACTCATATATTTGTTTTTATATGCACAGTATTTCGTATAGATCATCGATAGATCATCAATCCAGATGCAGCTTGAGTTAGGTTTGAGGTGAACAGTGGATTTAATTTGCGCTTGATGATTTATAAAGCTCATAAATATGAAATTATATATACATGCATACATATATAAATACATATTATATTAGTATACTAATTGCATTTGCCTTCTCTTTCTCTACAGAGGACCGGAGCTATTTGCATTTGTTGCCAACGAAATCGCGCGCCATTGCAAGCGTCCCGGCAGTCCCATCGATGACAAAATGGACATTTGCCACTACACCAGTAAACGTCAGCGCTTTATGTAATCAGCATCCAGCGTCAATCAGCGCCACACACACACACAAAACCACACACACACACACATGGATTGATCCACGCTTGTACACACCGAAAAATGAAATGCAACAACACAAGTCAGGGGAGTTGGGGAGAACAGATAACTGTTGATGGTAGCAGTTACCGTTACACACAGTGTGTGCACGTGAGTTTGTGTGTAATGGATGTATGTGCGTGTGTATATATATATATATATATATATATGTGTGTGTGTGTGTGGCAGTTAGCCGCGAAATAGGATAAATAGTTTCAGTACTATTATAATGTTAAATTTTGTTTATATTTATGCCGTAAATTTCTTGTTACTGCGTTTAGCTGCCACAAGCACCACAGACACAGATACACACACACATACACAAATGCATGCACACACTCATACACAGACACAGAGCAGCATAAGTTAGCTTTAGTTTATGATTAAGCATAAAACGCTTTTGTTGTACATTTTTCAAGTCAAGAGGTGGTCCAAAAAACATAGCGAAAATATTATGTTAACACACATACACACACATACACACACATACACACACACACACACATAAACGCGAGTTATATGTAGCGTAGTATAACATATACATACGCGCACACACACAATCACATACTGTTCAAAGCCAAAAATTGTATATATAAGTTGTTGTAATTGTATATATAAGGCAGATGAATAGAACGCATAAAACATTTTCAAAGGGAAACCTTATGTATGTACGTACTACAATTATCGCTATATATTTATTTGTGTGTGTGTATAAATCATCTGAATAATACAAATTCGTAACGCTTCCCCAAAACTCTGAACACCCAAAAATCCACTAAAAGGCTAGCTGAAAAAATACAACAAAAGCAAACAAAATTCAAAGTAAAAATTATTAACATTTAGACGAGACGATGATCCGATGATGGTACGATGTTTGATCTTGGCGGCAAATTGACCGCATTGTGTAGTTAGCCAGATAAAATACATCTATATTTATTCGTATAGAACCCGCCCCATGCATCTATGTATATGAGTAATGAGAAAACGATGTTGAACTTGAGTGTATGTAAAAAAAAAAAAAATAAAAATAAAAAAAAAAAAAAAAAAAAAAAAAAAAAAAATCAAGAAACGAGAACAGAAGGAAAACATGAACATAGCAGAAACACGTACTAAAATTTCATGTATTAAAAAAAGTCCTATGCAAATATTTGAGTTGTAATAAATTTAACAAATATGCTTAACAATTATACCTTAAAGAAAAGAAAAAAAAAAAACATAAGTACGAAAAAAAATTATAAATAAATAAAAGCAATTAAAATGAGAAAAATTATTATACAAGATTAAGAAGAAACCCACTATAAGTTAAATAAAAACTTAAAATTAAAAAAAAAAAAAACCTTGATATACTTTTATTTTTTGTTGGTTTGGTTTATATATATATATAAATAAAATAGTTGCTAAAAAAAACTATAGGTTAAAGTAGATATGAACAAAAATAGTACATTGCTGGAGCTTAAAAATTACTATAAATTATAATTCACAAATAATTTAAATATTTTTTCATATATATTTTAATTATTTCGTTTCTTTTACAATTTAGAGCGCATAAAGATATGTTGAACAGAAAGAGACAGCTAGATCGTCCAATTGGGTAACGTTCGTGCCAATTGGACTTTCCAATTGGAAAGTACTTTTTACATATGGGAAATTTAGTTGAAAAGAAAAACTCAAGAGATTGTACATTGAAATTCATTGCTATTTTTTATTTTCATATTCATTATATATATTTTTATTTTTTGTATATTTATATTAATAGATGTGTACATATATTTTTTATTATTTTGTAAACTGCACAGCTGGCAATTAATTACATGTACATTAATTCGGGGGGAATTAATTAACTAATACAAAACAAGACGATTGCAACGTAGCGAGGCTGTCAAACTGTGCAGCAGGCCCACTGGTGGCCCCGCGAGCAGTGGCTGTCCAACTGTAACAGAACTGCAAGCTTAAATGTGTTTTTGTTTTTCTCTTTTCTCTCTTTCTTCATCGATTAACAGAATATAAGATTTGCATTACGGAAATAGTACAACTGTGCCAGTTACAGCTATATATATATTAATGTATATATAAATATTATTTGAACAGAATTTATTAAACCGCATCTAGTATTTTATCAACAGCAACAAAATAAACGCAGCAACAGTTTGAAATGCTGCGTAGCAAAACACAATTTAATTTGATTTTTGTTTATGTTCGTTCTTTGTTTTGTTTTTTTTTTTTTTTAACTAGAGCTATCAACAAAATTGTTAAAAAGGTTTTCTGCATTTTTTGTTTGTTGCAATTTCTAGCACACTTAAATAAATTGAGTTATAATTATGTTATGTTATTTTTTTCCTTTCTTCATTTTAATTCTATTTTTCATTTCATTTTAGACGTGTGATTGTTTGCGTGGTAGTATGTGTGTGTGTAAAACAATGTGAAAAATAAAATTTGTAAAGAAATTTATAATCGACTGTTTAACGATAACGATAACGATACTTTTTTTGTTTGTTTTGTTTTTTGAACTAATTACAATGCCTTGCCCTAAACGGAATGTTTTAGTGCTACATTTCCAACTCGAACACAAACTGTTCTCTCCCATTCTTTCTCCATCTCCCTCTCGCCTGTATATATATGTGTGTGTGGGTGTTTCATGCCACTCTCTGTTCATGCTTTACATTCCTCAAAAGAAACACTTAAGTTGAAATACCTTGAAAGTCGTACGTTGGAACATATATATGTATATATATATATGTGAGTATATATGTGTACATATATATTATATATATGAAATGTAATGTGAACCTATATATATGTATATAAAGTGCTCATTATGTCGATGAACAAAAAGATTTTTAAATTTAACGTTAACGGACTTAATTCTGTTATATATATATATATACACATATATATCAAATCGTAATAGTGGGGTTAAGTTGTGTGTGTGTGTGTGTATTTCCGTGCGTGCGTGTGTATGGGTGTGCAAAAAAAAAGAAGACGAAGAAGAAGCATTTAAGAGCCTTTACACAAAACCGGTGCGTGACGCATTGCGCTGGTCCCAGCCTAAAACTGAACCCAATTGGCATTTGCCGAATTCTGTTGACCTTGATTGCCGCTGGAAAGAAGAGGAGAGTAATGAAAAAGCTGAATGCAATTTGGGTATATCATGGTGCTGGCAGCTTACCCAGCGGATGCGTAATCGGTCCATTCCGTTCCGGCGCCGCCGCCGCCGCTCGTCCTGTGTGCCGGCGACGCGGCCGGACTCTGGCGCAGTGTCGCTGCAGCCGGCGCTGCCGGCGGTGGTGCGATCTTTGCCAAGCCACCAGGTGGCGGTGGCAGCACACCACCAGTACTCTTGCCCTTGCCAGTACGCGAGCTGCCCTCCGAGCCATCCTTTTTCTGTAAGTAAAGCAAGGCAAGTGGAGATTGGGTCAGATATGAGTGAGCTTAATATTTGATAATAAATATTGTTAGCAGAAGGTCAACTATCATATAGATTATACTGAGAAATCACTATTATATTATATTAAACACTTATCTATATACTATATATATGAAGAAGAAGGTTCGAAGATCAGAAAGTATTATAGATATTATAATACAAGATATATAGCTACAAGATAAACGAGAACAGTTAAACTCAAGCCCCAATAATTTCGGATGTATGATAGTACAAATGGATCAATCAGAATAAGAATTTGCAGCATTTTAAATTCAAAATTTGCTTCTCTGCAAAGATATACGATGACCACGACATCCATTCATATGCTTGGATGAAATACATATGTCCCAATTCTTACTGCCGTCCTTAAAAGATTTCTTTACCCTAGCACAACATATTCGAGGACATTTAGAGAACTGAAAAAGGTGATCACGCGGTATCTTCCAGTAGTTCATAAGGAAGTCGAACACTGTATTGGGAAGACATTCAGCCATCCATTAGCTTCATTTATATACAATATTATCGCCCTTTTTTTTAAGGTTTTAAAGGACTCTAACTAAAAAGTTGAGTGCGTGATCTCGTCTTATCGGTTAGTCGAAAATTTTACTGAGCTGCTATCCATCTATTCATTCATCTATGCAATATCCTCATATATATTAGCGCCGTTCCTTAAAGCAGCTATAAATATCGGATAAGTATCTCATTATTTTTATCCTGCATTAAACTAAAGAGCTGACTACGCGGTATTTGCTAGTCGGCTACACATATAAGTCGAACATTTTGCATAGCATTTTTAGTGGGTGTCCATGTGATTCTTCAAATCACTTACCGTTATCCGCATATTGATTTTAATGGTCTCGCCCTCCTTGAAGCCCAGATCCAGCTCCTGTTTGGGTTCGGTTTTCTCCTTTTCGATTTGCTCCTGATTTTTTACCCATTTGAAGTGATCCTGTAACGCCACATTCAAATCGAACGAATCGGAACGATCACCAAAGCCCAAACCCAAAAACGCCGATCGTCCATTGTCGTCCTGGACGCGTATAACAAAGTAGCGTGAGCTGTCCGAGACCGCTTCGATGGCCACGCCGGGATATGTATCGATGGGGCAATTGGCAAAGAGAGCGCCGCTCGTCTTATCCTCCAGCTTCAGTATGCAAGCGGTGCCTTTGGCCACCAAGCGCATTCGTCCGGTCCAGGTGGGCTCTTTGAGGTTCCAGTCCGCTGCTCTGCGGGTTTGAAAACAGTTTTTGTGTTTTTTTTTTTTTTAATTTTTATTTTGCCTCGTTCCGTTAATAAACATTGTTTACTTGAATGGCATGTGCATCTATATGTATGTATGTGTGCGTGTATGTATTTTGTATTTGGTATGTTTCCGCTTAGTGAACGCTTTAAGCGAAAACAAAGAAAGTCAACAAAAGTAACTACAAAAACAATTGTACATATACAAAAGCTTTGGCCACATACACACGCACACACATCTGCATACATACATACATATAGATAGACGAGCGCGCACGCAAATGCATATACATACAAACATTTCACTTGCAAGTGAAATGTACAGCAATTAAGAGAAACTGCAAACTGGCCGCTCAAATAAAAAAAAACACAACTGCATACAAAAACAACAAATTAAAAAAAAAAATCAATTGATATTGAACTTCAAAGGAGGCAGCAGCAATCAACAACAATAGTCAATGGGCTTTTCTTAACCTTGGCTATATTGCTTTTGCTGTGTCTCTTTGCCACATATTTCAATCTCATTTCCGTGCCTTGCGCATTTTTAACATAATTTATGCATTTCTCACGCGCGCACACACAGCCACAAACAATATGTATACACAGTGTGCGTATGTGTGATATGTGGGGGCGTCTCTGCATGAAATCACGAAACTTTCAATTGCACCAGAAAACATAGCAACAACAACTAAGCAAAATTTTGTGTTTTTTTCTTGCAGCAGAATTTCTTGTATAGTAGATGATATCTCACCTGTATCCTCTGTTGCTAGCGCGTGGCGGTATTTTATATATAAATACCTCGGGCTTTACAATCAGAACACTTTCATATTCCATGTTTTATTATTATTTTTGAATTAATACTATTGTTTATTATCCTGCCTACGAGTTCCGTTTATAACTTTAAGCTTACAACTACATATACTGTGGAGCTGTCAAACAATCGATGCCAAATATCGATAATGTGGCTAATCGGGGGCCTCCACAAAAATATGTTTTGAAACAAAATCGGCTGGTATTTTTTTGATATAGCTACCAGAAGAATGTGCAAATATATCGCGGATGATATTATAGCCTTTACCTTTATTATGTTGATTTTCTGATTTCTAGCGATAGAGCTTATCTTACTTAGCTGTTTACTAAATATACACAATATAAATATGTTGACAACGTACGCGCGGCACGATGGCAATGATTTGTAGAGTATCGATACTGTTTGACAGTACATTTATTAGAATTTTTGAGTTGAGGACGCGTATTTTATGTAGATTTCTGATAGCTTATTAAAGTTTTAATTAATTTTTGATTAGACATGCAATTTTTAGATGTTGATAATGACCTCGCAGTACGATTATGATAAAGAATCGATATAAATTACCAACCGATATAAATTCAGTTCGATTCCATTTTATTTCTTTTTCTTGTGAGAAGAGTTTTTCTTGCTGTTATATAATTCATATTTATCAATTCTTCTTCATATATATTAAGTGGCGAAAAGAAATAATTATCAGAGAAGTATCGATAGCACAGTTTCAGTAAATTTTATCGCGAAATATCGATGCTTCAATGAAATATTTCGCTATATCGATAAGTAATATCAGCCTTAGATGACCGCACGTTGTTCTTCTGCAGGCCTTAGTCTACAATAAAGCGAAATGGCACCGGGTGTGCAAATTACAAGCGACAGCGACTTGGATGTGGTATTGGAGGAGTTTAAGATTAAACAGGCTCGTCGCAACAGCACCGGTCCCAAGTACACATGCAGCATAAGCGGTTGCAATGAGAGCTTCAAGCGTCTGGACCAATTGGATCGCCATGAATACCACCATACGGGTATTGTAAGTACAAAAGACCCAAAAATACTTGTCGTTCAATTTATAACAGTTTGGCTCTTATTGTAGAAGAAGCACGCTTGTAGCTACGAAGGCTGTGATAAGACTTATTCAATAGTCACCCACTTGAAGCGCCATCTGCGCAGCACACACGAGCGTCCTGAGGAGCCACAGAAAACAGTAAAATGCAGCTTGCCACAGTGCGACAAGATGTTCATATCGACTAGCAACATGACGCGCCATTTGCGCGAGGCACATGAGTGTCCGCGCGAATACGAGTGCCGCTTCTGCTCGCTCAAGTTCAGGCAAAAAATGAAGTTGCGCCGCCACGAGATCGTACGTCACACACAGCAATTTCCGTTTCGTTGTGAGAAATGCAAGCGCGGCTTCTATCAACAGTGGCAGCAGGAGAGTCACCAGCGTAGCTGCAGACTCTACTCTTGCCCCCAATGCGAACAACAGTTTGAGAAATGGACGCTCTACACAAAGCATTGCCGCGAAACACTACACGGACGCGAGCGCCACAAGTGCGAGCACTGCGACAAAAACTACGACAAACCCAGTGCCTTGAGTGCTCATATTGCTGCCAAACATCCAGCAAATGCGGAATCAACATTCTCATGCACCGAGCCTGGCTGCAATCGCAGCTATTCGTATGAGCGTAATTTGCGTCAGCATATCCTGACCAGTCACACGGGCAGGCGCTTTGAGTGCCTGGCCGTTAATTGCCAGCGCTGTTTTAGCAGTGCCCAAAATCTAAGCAAACATTTGCAGCGCGATCACACAGCCAAAGAGCGCCAGCCAGCTAAAAAGAAGCAAACGCTAGACACAAACGCAAATGGAGTCCCGGCAACAACGCGCAAGCGTCGCCGTGATGCGGGCAAATCCGCCCGATCGCAGCTCTCTAAACTTGCTTGCGTGGTGCTCGACAAGGAGGTTGATAAGCAGGTGCGCCTGCGCCAACCATCGGCGCTAACGAGCGTGGCCAAGGAGTTGCAAGAGAAACAAGACGAAGAAATGGAATTAGAGCGGTTGCTGGAACATACGCTTGAAGACGACTGCTAAATAAACCACAATGAGGCAACAACAACTTGAATTCAAATAAAAGCCTGAATATATATAAGTAGATTTATATATGCATTTTATAGTGGAATTCCTTTTATGATTGGCTCCTTCAATTCATAGCATATAATTTATATAATATATAATACATAAGTTTGTTTGTATGTTTTTGTTCATATATCGGCTTATTTAAAAAGGCATTCTTTAATTGCGATCTTTCATCTTTTCATGAAGAGTTTAACAAATATTCTTAAGCTTTCTTGAAGAAAATTTAATATTTTAGCCTCTCTAATCTTTGCAACTGCCTAGATTATTCGAATATAAAAATTTAATTTTGAAAATTGGATATTCTATAATTCCATAATTTTATATATTACAAGTTTCTTCTAGTCAATAAATAAGCTATATAATAAATTCGGCTCTAGATCTACTATATTAGGCTATACAAATGGAGACAAATACAAAGAATTGAAGTCAGTTTGAGTTATTTTATTTCCAAAGAAATATATTAAAAATGAATAAATACAAAATCTAAAAATAAAACAAAAACGAATAACGAATTTTCGTTAATTTGATTGCCACAGATTTATTCCTCTGACTACATAGATCAGCGAGAAAGATACACTTTAAATTTTCCTATAGATCATAAAAGTTTCATTGCAAAATTTGTTTATGAATTATTATCTTAATTGCTTTAAGTTGATCTATGTTCTATATCGAAGCATCATAACAGTTGCATTGCAAAAATGATTTCATATACATTTCGACAATAATTACTTGAAATTGATCTATGTTCTATATACAAAATCGAATCAGATTTCCAAGTACTAGTTAAAGTCAGTTTCATTTGCATTTTTATTAATAAACGAACGTTTTTGAAAACAACTTCAAATCCGTTTTATGTGGATGAGGCTGTGTACAAGGGCGCAGGCTGTGTATGTGAGTGTGTGTGTGTTTGAGTCTCTACAACGAATTGATGACCTTTCGACTGCGCATCTGCTCCAGCCATTGCTCCAACTGCTGCTCAGGTGTTTGTGGCTCGGGTAGGTAGTAGTGCTGCGGTGGTTCACCCTCCTCTAGCCGCAGGAAGTAGTGACAGTGCTTGTACTCGACGCGTCCAAAGCGACCGCGTGCATGTCGTCGCATTCCCTTGAAGACGCGTCCTTTGCCCACAAAGGATTCAGCTGGTGTGCACGAGTGGAATGGAAATTATTAAAGGCCCATATGGTTAGCACTCATATTTATTTACCAATCCACAAATTGCTCTTGTACTCAACATTGTGCCGCTCAACGGCCATTTGCTGAGCCTCCAGTATCGTCTCCCTGACATCTGTGGCGCCCTTTTTGAGCACAAAATTCAGTTGCTTGAGCGCCTCGTCTACGGACATGCCGCGCACAAAGGCCGCTATATACCACATCTTGTCCGGACTATATTTGATGTTGCTGCGCATATGGCACACATACTATATATAAATAAATGATTTTAATATTGTAATTAACTATTAAAGTTGGTCAAAATAAACGAAATGGTAGCCATTTACCGCTTTGCGTGGCTCCTCGTCCGCTTCCTGTGGCGGATGCACAGTTTTGTTGTATTCCAGCCATTTGCGAGGTCCGTAATTGTGTTTATTCCATTTAGTGCAAAGGCCCCCAGAGGCAGCCGTGTGCACGCCGCAGCAGTCAACGTTTTGCGTGATCACAGGCGGCATGGCTAACAATTTTGCTGCGCTGGTTACGGGGGCGGCCGCAAGCAGCGGCGTTTGCACCGTTAGCTGCGCAATTTGCCTTATCATTTTGTGCATGGTGCTTCAGGTTTGTTTTATAAAGTTGTCAAAAGATTTATAGCAATAAAAAGAACTTGAAGCACCATCGGTCGCGTAATCTGCCAGCAAACAGCTGTGTGGACACTTAAGCCTCGCACATATCGATACCTCGATTGTTCGTGATAGATATATTTGCCGACAAGTGGAATGCTATCGATAGTAAAAGGAAATATAAGCGATCATTAATATCTTTAAAATTTTCATAATATTGAGTTATAAGTTTCAACTTTCTATTTCTTATCATACTCTGTCTGTAAAATCGTAATCTAATTGAGTAAAATATTTGTTATTTGAATACAAACTATTATAATAAATTAAAAACAATACCTTTTATTTAAAAATTTAAAAATGTTAAAAATTAAAAAAAAAAATAACTGTTCACGAACTGAATCGCGTTAGGATCTACTTGAGCCGAACTATCGAGATCATAAATCGGTTCCTTTTGGATAGCCTAAAATTTCTTAAGAAGGGCTTGCAAAGAAATTGCAAATTTATTCGGATTTCGTAGAATGATTTGAAGCAATTCCATTGTGTTTTCAATATATTTGAAAGTATATTATCGCCATTCTCTGTAATATGGAGGAGGCAGCTCGCGTAAAAACCGAAGTCGAATCCACTTACTCAAATATCATATACAAACAATCCCCATCCGAAGATGAAGATAACGCGTGCACCCCGCTGCGTGATGAAGGCGGCCAATCGCCCCTCGGCCAGGAGGCAGTTAATGCTAATGGCGCCACCGGTTGGGAGAGCGATGCTGATGATCAGGCATCAGCGCCGCCGCCACCGTCAATGTTCTTAAAGCGGAGCCCACAAAATGATTATTGCCCGACGCCATTAAGAGTAGTGACCACATTTGAACCAGAGCCGGCAGAAACTCAGTGTGAATCTGAAGAAAATGGAAATTCGGATTTGCCGATCGATGACAATGAAGATTCAAAAGAGCTGATTGTTGTGAAAAAGGAGGAGCGCAGAGAACTGCAGTTGGGCTTTCTTGATATCCTGTCGGAGACAGACTTTCAAGGCGTTTTAGATGAATCTTATAGCCATGTAGATCAACTCGATCAAATGGATCTGGAGCCGCCAAATGCAAATAACGAAGAAGAGCAGGCGCTACAAGACCGTATCGAGCAGCGGCAAAGGGAGCTTGAACGCTTGGAGCGAACAGAAGAAGAGAAAGAGAAGAAAAGAAAAAAACATAAGAAAGAAAAGAAGAACGAAAGCCATAAGAAGCGACGTCGCAGTCGTAGTCGCAGTGGCAGTAATAGCCCAAGTTCACACAAAAGCCGTAAGGAGCGACGATTACAGGAGCCTGATCGACCCAGTGGATCAAGAACGGGTTCCAAGTCCGTCATAAAAACTGAGCCCGATCAACTGGACTATGTGCCAGTGCGGCCCGAGGAGAAGAGCATCAAAGTAATCAACATAAGCAAACTACAGCAAAAAGCACCAGAGGCACCACCAGCTCCGCTAACAGTTCAGGAAAAGCGTCGCCGGGGCGTGGAGCGGGCGAAGAAAGTGCTAGAGTTAATGCAACTCAAGGCATCCAAGGCACCGGAGACCGAGTTTCTGGTGGTCAACACCATTCGGAAAATACCAAAACTAGGTGGGTATATGACCAGTCATACATTCGAGAATCCCTCGCCGTTGTGCAACAATTTCAATGTTAGATATAAGTTCAACTCGACATCGGTATCGAACATCAATTTGAAGAAGTGGGGCCTGGAGCCGTTGCCCAATGCGACAAGGGAGCTGTTGCGTCTAACCGGAATTAATGTGACACGTTTGATGGAGCTACAACAGAACTCGAAGATGACCATTCAGCAGCTCAGATTCTCGCATCAGAAGGAGAACGGCAATTGCAGCAAGATAGAGGATGAATCGCTATCTACCGGTCTGTACAAGAGTGCATCAACCCAGACGGATCCTCGGATGATGAATCTCGGGCGGAATGTTGGTGTCCAGGCTGTTCCGCCATCGCATGAGGGTGTCTATTGGCTAAATCCTCGCTTCAATGATTCGGACCTAACGCAACAGCAAACGAACGTATTGTTGGCACTGAAGGAGCTCACCGCCTCGCCTCCCAGCTCGTCCTTATGGGCCGATCGTATATTCCGGGAACTGCGCAACGCCTTGGCGATCAAGCGCGTCGAGGCCCAACAATTGAAACAATGATCAACTAATTATTGCCAAAGTAATAACCACTTCAAATGCATTATGGAAAAACGATTCCAATTGAAAACTAATTAAGCATATGCTTGGATAAACAGATTTAAGTTTTCCATCATTTACTATCAGTAATATATAAAGTGCAAATACACGTATCCAGACCAAAGAAACGTGAGGCCAAATAAAAAATCAAATAATTAACAAAAATAGAGACGTTTGTAAAATTAAGTATTAGATTAACGTGCCTTATAAATAAAAATAAAAGAATATTTTGTAATTAAATTTAGCTAATGGTTCATGAAACAGATAATTCTGGTTGGAAACTGCCAATTGGGAAGTTGTTAATTCAAATGTTTATCGATAACCGAATGTGGCAGCATTTAACAACACTTAACAGAGATACGGTATTGTCTGGCCACACCGTTACGTCCACGTAGAAAACAAACGGACGACATTGTCGACGTGCATATATTTATTTAAGATTTAAACATACAGCGAGATGCAATAAACAAAGATCAATTGAAAGGACCAGCGGACTGGCGCGCGCAGAGGCAGTGACTCTGTGCCTCTGACACTGACAACGGCTCCTCAATTGAGCAACTACAATAAACACACACCAAGATATTTAAATATGTTGGGTGGTAAACGCACAAGCACCCGTCATGTTGCGGTCGTGCTATTGATGTGTCTCTTCTGGTACGTGATTTCGTCCAGCAACAATGTCATTGGCAAAATGGTGCTCAATGAGTTCCCATTCCCAATGACCGTCACCCTCATCCAGCTATGCAGCATCACCCTATATAGTGGGCCATTCTTTAATTTATGGCGAATACGCAAATACCAGGACATACCGCGCGCCTACTACTTGCGACTAATTGTCCCGCTGGCCATTGGCAAGCTGCTTGCCTCGGTCACCTCGCACATATCGCTGTGGAAGGTGCCCGTCTCCTATGCCCACACAGGTCAGTTGAGCAAAAGTCAATCAAATCGTAATTTACTTCACACGTCACCAAATGCTGAAAACTATTTGCAATTCTTGTTCTTCTTCCCCAACAACTACTGTACAGTTAAAGCGACCATGCCGCTTTTCACCGTCGTACTGACGCGCGTCTTCTTTGGCGAGAAGCAGCCCACACTGGTGTACCTGAGCCTGCTGCCCATCATAACTGGCGTGGCCATTGCCACCGTCACTGAAATCTCATTTGATATGCTCGGCCTAATCAGTGCACTCATTTCGACCATGGGTTTCTCCCTCCAAAACATCTTCTCCAAGAAGGTAAAGCGATCGCTCACTCGCATAATCTCACTTGGCTTTCATTATCAATTCAATCGATTCTCTATGCAGGTGCTCAAGGACACGGGCATACATCACTTGCGACTGCTGCATCTGCTCGGCAAGCTGTCCCTATTCATTTTCCTGCCCCTCTGGCTCTACATGGACAGCATGGCCGTATTTCGGCATTCAGTTATTGTATGGCATTTATCTATAAATTCACCTTTATTGATTTCTAATTATTATTTTCCTGGATTGCAGAAAAATCTGGACTATCGAGTGATTGCGCTGCTCTTCACCGACGGCGTTCTCAACTGGATGCAGAATATAATTGCGTTCAGTGTGCTGTCGCTCGTTACGCCACTTACATACGCCGTGGCCAGCGCCTCGAAGCGGATCTTCGTGATTGCCGTCTCGCTGCTGATATTGGGCAATCCGGTCACGTGGGTGAATTGTCTGGGCATGACGCTAGCCATCATCGGTGTGCTGTGCTACAATCGTGCCAAACAAATCTCGAAGGCCAGAGAGCTGCCGCTGCAGGTGCCAAACAGTCATATTAAGTATACGCCGCTGAATGACAACTACTATCGCAGCTCGCTCAATGGCAACATTGGAAATGGCCTGCACAAGGGCTCTGCGTCCGTACAAATGCCAATGCCAATGCCCATGAGCGCCAACAGCAGCAGCAGCAGCATCAGCAACAGCTTGCTGGTGAACGGCAGCGGGATGCCAAGCGGGAGCACCACGCGCCTGCTGTTCGTATAGTTTTCTAATTAGTGCAATTGTGTTGGAAGGAAGAGCTACAACATTCGTTTACAACTCGTCGTCGCCTCACGTCTAGCATTCATCGATGGTTGAGATAACAATTCTTATCAGACGGAGTTCGCTATCTACGGGCAATCCGAATAATTGAATAGTATTCCCGCATTCAAATCTAACAATATGTAATGTGCTCTCTCTGCTCGTGTGACACATTTCGTTTGTAGTTTTCCCTCCGGTTTCCATTTCATTTCCCTTTCTTACCGTTGCTTTCCTGCCCATCCTTTTTTTTTTGTTTTTAAGTTATCTTGTATAAAATTGTATGATAATGAAATATGCGAGTGAGGCGGTATGTAAATAAGTATATGTATATGATTGAGACTGAATCCGCAACGGATTTGCCTCAGTTGCCGCTGAAAGGAATATTGATATATTGTTTTCTCAGTTCGAATTAGAATGATTATGCCTTAAAATTGTATGTATGTATGTATTTACAAAATCGAAATGCGAAATGCGTGCGTATTCAAAATTGTTGACCGTGTACATAGGCAATAAACACATGTATCTACTACGTTTTACTGCGTACTATGTAAACCAGTCAGTTTTGGCCTTCACTTGGAACCGGCCCAGTGTTTATCCACTACCGCAACCAAATCCCAATCCAAATCCAAATCTAGGATGCGCCGGCTAGGCGGGCAGCAGCTTTATCCACTCGTTCACAACTGCCTTTTTGTAGCCAATGCGTTTGAGCAGCGCCTCCGACCGCCAATTGTTGGATACAATCCACGCGGTTAGCGTCACCTCCTCCTTTTTGGCAATCAATTTGCTCATAACGGCAGCCAGCAGCCCGCCAAGGCCACGGCGCTCCGCCTTGGGCAGCACCTGTAGCATACTATGCAAAAGAAAATCGAGACCTTAGCTACGACTGCACTTGATCCTCGCTCTCGCCTCTCTCTCTCTCTCTCTCTCTCTCTCTCTCACTCTATCGCTACTTACCCGAGGCCAGAGAAGTCATTCTGGAATATCCAGGCAATCAATTCGCCTGTGTCACTGCGACAGACACCCACGGTTCGATTGAACTTGATCAGTGCACGGATGTATGCTAGTGATCCTTCGCCCTTGTTGGGCCATATCCCGTGCACTATCTCGGCATCCTCGTCCGTTAGCTGGCGCAGCTCGAAGTCCGTTAGCAACTCGGGCACTGTGACCACTTTGGCCTCGGCATGGGGCAATACCATGCCGTAGCACTGGCGTGCCTGTATTCCCGTTGCGCCCTTCTTCAGGGCCAGCTCTTTGACGCGTTCGCAAAAGTCCAGGTCGACATTGGTAAGCAGCGCACCGTTCGCCCATTGAATAAGCCGGGTCTGCTCCAGGCAGGCGAACAGCTCCACGCCACCTGTTTGCCAGCTGTAGAAGGAGACGCTCTGCACTACATCCTCATGCAGGCTCACATACGTGCCGTACTGCCTGAAATCGCCAGCTCGGTGCGTGTAGAAACGTTTGCGCAACGAAATGTATTTGAGATCGGTTAGGGGAACGCCTGCTGCCTCAAGCTGGCGATCCCATTTACGCTGATTGTACATTAATAGATAGTGAAAGTTAAGCTCTCCATATTTCGCCTTATAGAGCGCCATCAGCTCATCCACTTCGATATCGCTGAGTGGCCGCAAGATGTCCAAATCCTTATCGCCCATATTGATCGATGCCAACTGCTGATTACGCTTTCAAAGTTACAAATTGTCTGGCTTCGGCTCGCGTTGGCGTTCTTTAATTCAGCGAGCAAACCAGAAGCAATTGCATACAGGAGCGGATTCATAGTCAAGCAAAAACTATGATGTAAATATATTAGAATACATTTGCCACATGTTTCAATTCTCGAAATTTAGGTTTAATTAGTTATAAACTAAGCCTACGGTTAAATCATGCTAAGGATCTGGTTCACTTAGCGATCACCATGATCGGCCTAACGGTTTATCATTGGTGTACATTGATTTAGTTTGTTTTTGTTTTTTTCTTACAATACATATAAATATAACAACTATAACTATTTGTATCTTTTCACCGCAGTGCGGCCCTGTAATCAAGCACTTTAGACGTGTTAGACTAACTAATTCAACTGATTAGATTTCCCGCAATACAAAATAAGCAGGGCACCGGACGTCGATGACGTTGCCTACATGCAAATCGATATGTTAATTTCGATAGGTTCAATCGGTCGGTCGGTGGCTTGCTCACCCGCCGATGACACAAAACATAAATTGAATTTCGAGCGCCAACAACAGCAACAAAGTAACAACGGTACAGGAAACGATTAAACCTAGCAACGCAGTGACCTTTGTTTGTTTATAATTTGAATTAGTTGAATCCAGACTTACACATAGACATCATTAATATTTATACTATTTCAGCAATTATGGTGCGCAGTAAGTGTAACAACAACAGCGATAACATACGAATTCTTGACTTTGTAATCAAATTGAGCAACGCCTGCAGTTACAGAGGAGCTAGTTCGCAAAAAGTCGGAGCATAATGAGCGACTAATTAGCACGCTGGAGGAGCTGTCGCTGCATCAAGAGGACATTGAACGCATTGAACACATACAGAACTGGTGTCGCGATCTCAAGATATTGCTGCTGCAGTCCAATCTCATAGGCCGGCTGGAAAATCTGTTCAAGCTGAAGCGTCTGGAGTATCTCAATGTGGCGGTTAACAATATTGAGCGCATTGAGAACTTGGAGAGTCTCGAGTCGCTCAACAAGCTCGATCTGACGCTCAACTTCATTGGCGAGCTAACCAGCATTGAATCGCTAATTGGCAATTACAATTTACGCGAACTGATTCTGATTGGGAATCCGTGTGTCGAATATCCCCATTATCGTGACTATGTGGTGGGCACCTTGCTGCAGCTGCACAGCTTCGACTGCAAGGAGATATTGCCCACAGAGCGTCTGCAAGCGCAACGTCACGTCCAACAGCATCGGGCTGTCATTGTCCAGTGCCAGGCGGCACAGGCCATCGAGCGGGATGAGCAAAGGATTCGCGTGGCCGAGCAGCAGCAGCAACTGGCCAAACAGTGCGCCGACATGGAGGACGAGGAGGAGCGTCGACGCACCTTCTGGAATTCCAAAAGCGAGCACTGCCCCGAAATACGCACGGAGATAGCGCGCCAGCACAGGCTTGGCCGCGAAAAGCACGAGCCGGCACCAAATCCATTGACAACCAATCTCAAGCGAAAGCCGAATCTGTTTGCGCCCTGCGGACGACCCTATAACATAAACCAGGGCAAGTTGCCGTTTAATTTCCAAGATGAGGCCGATCACTATAGCCTGCTATTGGAAGTTTACAAGTTTGTATTCACAATTCGATATTGCTGCATCTCTCACTATATTTGATCAATGACAGGCATCTGGACACATCTCTGATCGATGTGGACGTCGAGACAAACTATGTGCGCGTCACGGTCAAGGGGAAGATCTTTCAAATCGCCTACAACGAGGAGGTCAAGCCGGATGAGTCGATTGTGCAGCGTTCCCAAATCACTGGCCATTTGCAGATAACACTCAAGAAGCTCAAGGCCAACGAGCTGCTCGTCATCAAATCCGTGCGTACGCCGAAGAAAAGGTGAGTCAATAGATTCAGATCCGTGCCGGAAATAATATAAACTTGACAACTTGCAGTGCTCCTGCTCCTGGCGCTGCTGCTGCTGCAAAAGAGCCCAGCGGCACAGTCGATATTGGCAATATATGTCCTCCGCCCGATTTGCCCGACTTGATCTAAGTGAAGCACACAAGAATTTATTAGATTTTTTTTATTTAAAAATTGTTTATTTAAATATTTTGTTTTTTGTATTTTTTTTTTCTTTTTTTGGGATTTTCTGTTTCGTTGCTGCGCCTCTCGTATTCCTGCTGCCTTCTAGTATTCATAACTCCGCGCTGACCCAGCATAGTACCAGATGTCTATATACATATATATACACAAATGTATATATATGTAATTGCTTATATTGTATATGTAGTTACAATTCATGATGTACGTTCGTGTGTGTGTGTGTGTGTGTGTGTTAGTGTGTGAGGTGGATATAAAAAATGATGCAAACGCATAGTAAAAATTAAAATTATTGTTTGCTTTTTTTTTGTGATCTAAACGGGAATAATGTTGCTAAGTTATAGAAACCGTTTGCCAAAAAATCCTTACTCATGCTACGCAGTATATATTAATATATATGTATCAAAATGAGCTTTGGTTGATTAGTTTTTATATACTTATATATATGTTTCGAGTCGGATTAAAAAAAAAAAAAAACAACACAAGAAAACCCAAAAGTCATTAAAAAAAATACGTGTGGTACGCTTTTTCTTTTTCCTGAATGATCAGTTTTATATAGATATATATACACATATATATGTTAGCATTTGAAGTTTGAACAGTTCATTCTGAGCCAACGGAAAGGCATCTCAGCTAAAGGGATTTCTCGTTTATTTCAGTCTCAGAGCGGCGCACTATAGTTTCGACCATAGAAAATGGATTGTATTTGGTATATGTCTAGTTTGTGGATCGGGAAGGAGGAAGGCTAGTATTATATTGTAATTTTCATTTTGTTTGTTTGTTTTTTTTTTTTTTTTTTTTTGCATTTTGTTTTTGCGTTTAGTGCTTACAAGTTTATACTGCGGGAGTAAGGATCGTATGATCATTCCTGGGCCTGGCATTATTTCGTGAAGTTAATGGTAATCATATATATGCAGTCAATATTTTATATGTTCCTTTCGGTTTTTTGTTTTTTTTTTTTTTTTTTTTTTTGGATAGCAACAATCTTGTATTCTCTCTCGCTCAATATAATATTTCGGTTTTTTTTTTTTTTTTTTGTTTTAGTTGTATTTTAAATAGTAAGTATTGTATTTAGCTGTGGTTGTGCATTGTATTTTGTTTTTGTTTTTTTTTTAGTTCTTTTCTGTTTTCTAAATACAAGTATTTTTGTTTTTTACTTTGCATTTGCGTTTTATTTTTGCTTTGTTATTTTGTTTGCTTAAGTCCTTTTGTTGTTTGTTTTGGTTTGTGGTTCCCATAGAAAACGTATAATAAAAAAATGTGAACAAACAATAAAAGATATTTCGAAAAAAAGCGTTTTTGCGTCTTTTTGGTTACATTTTCATCTGGTTTTTCTTTCTCTCCTTTTTGTTTTTGTTGTTTGTTGTCTGTTGTTCTTGTAAGCGTGTAGTTGTGTTGTTGTTGTTCTTGTTGTTCTTACTGCGGTTAGACACAAAAATTTTAACAACATTTCACATGTTGGAAAACGAGGTAGGACATTGTTTTTGCTTCGATCATCATTTGTTTTTGTTTGTTTTGTTCTGTTCCTTATGTTGTTTCTTCTTCTTCTTTTGCGTAATTGATTTGGTTATTTCAAAACAGAAAACACACACAATGGTTATTAAAAGCAGATAATTCAATAAATATATAACTAAGCGTCCGAATCAAGCGTCCGTCCTTTCAGCGTAACGTTGCGAAACGAGTCAAATAAATTACAAATAGCAATACATATTTTGGTTATACCTTGAGACTTATATATCATAACGTTATGTACCAACTAAGCTAAGGTGCTAACTGTGCCTGACCCGGCCACAGGGAGCACGGATGAACTAAAATCTAATAGAATTGCCCGGCTGCTTCGCCCTATGCGCCACACATGTTCGTTGACCCACAGTCACAGACGACCAAACACCAATGATAGCTAGGCGGTTGTGGGATACAAATCGGCGTCCGAATATAAAACCATATATAAATATATATAATATATATTTATATTTATATATATGTATATATGATATAAAACTAAAACGCGTTTCTTCCGCTTCGCCTACAAAACCTACAACTACATTACGTTCGTATCCGCATGTGTGTATGTATATCTATATATATGGTAATATATATAAGTGTGTGTGTGTGTCTTTGAGTGTCCTTGTGTGGTGTTGGTGTGCTGTTGCTGCTGCTGCTGCTTCTGTTGTTCTTGCTGATGATGTTGTTGCTGTTGTTTTTGTTGTTGCTGTTGTTGGGTGCGTATTGAGGATTGTGACAGCAACCAATTTCCTCACATCACAGTCACACAGGCAGAGCAGTGTGGGTCGGAAAGGGGGCACGTGGCATGGGTGGTAAGAAAAAATTGACTCTTAGACCCGCAGGATCTCGCACGCTTTGTTATAGCAAATGGCTATCCAATCGGGTTGCGTGGCACCCCATTGTATTTGATTGACTTCGCCTTCAGCAGCTGTATAGGCTAAAATTGGATCCTCGATTGCGCGTGGCATTTGTTGTATATCCCAGATCAGTGCTTGGTGATCATCACCGGCAGTGCAAATGTGACAGGAACTGCAAGCAAAGAAATAATATATATCCGTCTTCTCTTTCATATCCTTATTTTGATTTAGTTTCGCTCACCTATGCGGCGCCCACGCAATACCGTTGACGCACGCTCTGTGATTGCTCAGTCTTGCAACAGGTGTACAAGGAACACGAACATCTAAAATAATAACTTCACATGAATCCATGGCAACTGTGGCTAAGTAATTCGGATCCTGTTTGTTCCAGGCTAAACGCAACAGGGCGGTATGCGCAGGATCCTAATCAATTAAGAATAGTTCATTATTTATATAAAATAGCAATAGGTATGGCATGTCGCAGCTCACCTCATAGATAATGGTTGAGTGCTCGAGATGACGCAAATCAAACATGCGCACTGAGCCATCGGCACCAACAGAGGCAAACATGTCCCGTCCTCCGCCGGCACGTGAAAATGCAATGTCATAGACCTCCTTGTCGTGTGCTATCAGCTGCGTCTTAACATGCCCAGCCACATAGACGCGAGCGTGCGGCTGCCCAGTTTCCAGGCCCCATATTGTGCATGTGGTGTCGATGGATGAGGTGCCGACCAAATTTGGATCCACCTCGTTCCAGTCGAACGATGTGAGCGGCGCACAGAAATCACTGTTTTTGTTGTTATTTAAAACACACTCCAAATGGGTATCCGGTTCACCGGCGCGCCAAACACGCAGATAATCACCGCTGGTGGCCAACAGATCGGGATAGATGCCCTTCGAGTCTGGTATCCACATGATTTTTGTAGTCGGATATGGATGGTCAAAGGTGCTGCAAATGAGATTACAAATTATTACATTTAAATATTTATTTGCATAAGCTCTCAGAGGATCTTGATATAGTTAAACCTGACTCTTAAAACCTCTTTTTTCTTCTGCTGGCAGCTAATCTCTGACTATATTGGGTGGAAGGATCGACTAAAGATTGTAAGCATAGTAAATAACAATTTACCTAGAAGGTAATCTGAGCTATAGTTATACAGACAACTCAAACTAAATATACACACTATAGTATCCAATATTTTCATTCAAGATCTATCGAGTTAAGATTGTCTTCCTGCGTAGGTCAACTCAATGAATAGAAATTTAATTTATAATCTCAGCTCCTAATACAATATTTTCATTCAAGATATATATCTATCGACTTTAGATTGTCTTGCTATGTATGTATGAATATATACATAACTTAATATATAATATTTTCATTCTGCTCCATGATTTCCTCACCTTTTAGCACTAAATTCGCTGGTATCCTCGTCCAGGCTTATGATTTGCACTTTGTTGTTGTACTCCTCGATGAAGCTACCCAAGGCAAGGCGGAAACGTTTGTCTGGCCGGACGCTCCAGTTCATGGAGTAGAGTGGCCATGGCGCCAGGTATTTGTATATTTCCTTACGTTTCCCCGCGGTCGATGACATAACTGTTGAGCATATGATGTTAATTAGCCGACAATTAGAAAAAAGTGGGAGGTAATACAGCATCTAGCAGCACTTACCTAAATATTTATGTGTTTGTGTTCGTTAGGGATATGAAGAATGTCAAACGACAAAGTTCCTGTGCGCAATTAAAATGATCCAGTAACCGAACTTGTATACAAGGTTTCTCACAAAAGCTAGCTGGGCGGGCGGGCTGGCGGTTGATGGGTGGTAATAAGACAAACCTGCTAAAAATTACGATGGCAATGCGGATGATGATAATGACGAGACAAATTGAAACTTCAGAAAATTAACAAAAAACCGCTGTGCCTTTTGGTTTACTGTACACGGAGAAAATAGGAAGGGAAAACCGAAAATGAGATGTTATTATTGTAAAAATTATTTCGTTTTAGTTTTGAATTATATGTAATTGCATTTATTTTATTTGTTTTGTAGCTCACTTCATTTTGTGTGACGACTTTGGCGGCGGCGCAGGCTAAAGTGGTGCCCACTCAGCCTTTTCCGGTTAGATTTAGCTGTTTAATATCCAGATTCACAAAAAATTCTTGTAAGCTATATTGGTACGGCGGTGACACGCAGTCTAGCTGAAAAATAGTCGTTTAATAACAATGAATAACAAATTTCTATATTTCAATATGTGATGTTGCATACGTTGAGTTTAACTCTTTGCTTAGCAATATCAAAATTGTAATGCACATAATGGTGAAGATATGCGAATTTCGCCAAAATAGCTTTTTGCGAATACAAAAGTTGGCAACACTGTATGTAATGCGACGCGACAGTTTGCGGCTGCAGTGTATTATTAGTAATTAAGTAAATACGGCTTAACGTGCCGCATGGGCACTAGCAATAGCAGTAGCCGTAGTTTACTTATTTAAGTATTTATTTGCATTACGATTTCATTAATTTTTAAGCGATATTTAAATGTAAGAACTTTTCACACCTGAACAAAATTTTCTCTCAAAATGTATATACACGGCGGTGTTGCCACTTTATCTGTTGTTTGTGATGACCACTAAGTCGATCATTAATGGTTTGATTTCTGGTGCGATACAAAATCATTTATCGATACTTGTATGGACGCAACTCTGGATTTCGGTAGTTCGCTTGCAAAACTGACTCGCTCTTAAGTGAGTTCTGCGTGCTGTGGGCTGAAAATTGCATATAAAAGCCAATAATATTAGTTATTACCATGTAAAGAAGCTCAGTCAGTGCACTTTTTATGTATTTTTATGTGTGTGTGTGTGTCAATAGCTGATACAATTAAACGTATACAACATTTTTTTTTTCAAACGTCGTGAGTAGATTGTGCGTGAATGATGAATTTTATAAATAAATATACTGCTTGCCAAGGAGCTATGTCCCCATAATTAAACATATATATTAAAGTGTTCGAGTTCTAAGCGAAATTCACAATTATAGTCGTCACTTTTCCACTTTCCATTTTTGAGAAAGATATTTCACTTTGCGTAATTCGTACGTTGCTTGCTTGGCCGCGTATATATATATATATATATGTACATACATGTGTATATGAATGTGTTTGTTTCGTCGCCTTTTGGTGTGTGGTTGTGTTTAGTGTGTCGCTGTCGCCAATATCAATATTGCTATTTCATTTGCACATATGGCGCTTATAGGCCAGGCACAGCAGCGCAGTTTTACTACTGCTGCCACCGCCGCACCACCCAACCAACGGGAACGTGGCCGCCAGCGCCAGCCAGCTGTGTGTGTGTGTGTATGTGCTTTTAAGCGCTTTTATAAATAGATTTGCCTTTTTTCAATTTTTGTTGTTGCTTTAATTATAATAATTTCGATTTTTGACATGATTTTCGGCATCGCTGCTTCACAAAGGCGAATTGGAATGTGTGAATCTGAAACGGTGTAGTGATGTTTATAGTTGTAGTTGTAACAGTAGTTGTATTTATGAACGCGAGATCGATATGATAGTGACCATGTGTCCGTCTGTTTGTTTACGTGTGTGTGAAAGAGAGAGACGGATAGGGGCAGAGCGAGAGAGAGAGAGAGAGAGAGAGAGAGGCTGTGGCGCCCTACCCCACATATATTCGAGCACACGCATTAACGCACACTATGAAAGCCGAGCAACGGTTTCCTCGGTTACAATGACATTGCGCGCCGTATAGGGCCGTAGACAGCCTGGCGGCATCTTATACACATACAAACAGACATACAACTTCACTATTACCGCATAGCTACCCCACTCACTCATTCACGACCAACATGCACACACGCACACACACACACAAACCGGCAGTTGCATTGAGTTGTTGTTATGACAAGTTGCAGCGCCGTGAAATTTCAAGTATTGTGATTTGTTATTGTTGTCGTTGTGTTATTTTGTAAACAAGTGTGACATGACGAAATGACGAAGTGGGCGATGTTGATAGCGCTGTTAAACTTGTGATACGTTTATGAAATTATTAATCAACTGTAATTGTTAGTCAGCGCATATCTATATGTATATGTATATATATATATATTTATTTATTTATTAATATATATGTATATATACATGCCTATGCTTAAGTATTTATGTATGTGTATTATTCGAAGGTCAATTCTGATAAATTCTTCTTCATTTACAGTTTGCCTATTCTCCACTGCAACAGTAACGGGTCTTTAATGTAGCATAAGCAACAACATTAAATAAATAACAATTAAAAGCTTTGTAAATAATCAGTTAACCTAAAGGAAAAAGCAACTGCAAGCCAAATTCAAGGTGAGTGAGTGAGCGAATGAGCGAGTGCATCTCGCCGCGCGTTGCCATTTTGAAAGTTACTCTCACTCACGCATCTACTTTCACTCTCACTCTTGCAGCAATAATACCAGAGCAACAATTACAGAATTATATTAAAAGCCAGAAGCACCAATAACAACAACAACAACAGCTAAGGACAGAACGCTCTGCCAAATCCGTAACAACGCCAGCCATCCAGCAGTAGCCGCAGTAACAACCGCAATAATATCAACAACAACAACAACGATAATAACAACAACACCATCATCATCCACAGCAACAATTGGAATTCATAACGGCTCATCAAAACGGCAAACTGGTCCGATTGAAGCGGTAGAACGCTGCTGCCACTAATATGCGTGTGATTTCGCCGCGTAGATCGTCAACGTCAGCAGCGGGCAGTGGCAGTCTCTACGGCACAACGTCGACCAGTGGCGCTGGCAGCTCGGCCAGCACTAGCGGCACAAGCAGCGGCAGCGTCAGCGGCGGCGGCGGCGGCACAAGTAACGGCTACTCGCGCTACTCCGGCAGCTACTACGATAATCGCGGCAGCAGTCTATCCAAATACCTGCCCTCGTCAGCTGGTTCGGGTACATCAGCAGCCGGCTCCTCATCCACATCCACATCCGCCTACAATCATCACAGCAGCAGCAGCGCGAGCAACTACTATCCCAGCTCCTATTCAACCTATTCGAGTACGCCGCGCGTCAGCACACAGCGGAATAGCATCGCATCTCCATTGTATCTGAGCGGAGGAACTGGCTCTGTTCTCAATTCTGGATATCGGACTAGTTCATCGTATTTGAGCAACTATGATACAATTTCGTATGGCCGATGCGGAGTGAGTGTTTTTGATGATTATCGCTTTAGCCACACCTACCACCTACCTACACCTCCACCCCAAACCCCCGATCCCATTTAAATTCCGTCGATTAATTTTTAATGTACATGCATATCTATCATATTTATCTATACATATGTGTGATATTCCATTGATGGCTGAACAGAGCTCTCTCTCTATATATCTATATATATATATAGTGATCTGTATGTGTATGATGCTGGGCATAAGTACACCCATTAGAGTAGATCTCTATTCACCTTTGAAAGCCCCCCAACTGCTTTACTCTCGTACTTGAAACTCCTTACTGGGCTTGGAACAAATTTACAAAACTCATTCATATGCACAATCACACACACACACACACACACACACATGCATAGACAGACACCTACACACACATTCAAAGCATTTGGTGAGTTCTCTATTTAAAGTAGTGTTGTTATTGTATTGGTCAAGGAGTATTGGTGTGTGTCGTATTTGTATATGTTTGTGTATATGTAACTAGCATACATTGTAATACATATACATACATTAATATGTATGTTAAAGCACTCTTGGCATATATGAGGACTGTTCCGATTAATATTAATAATATTGAATTTAAGCGAAATGTAGGATTATAAAGTATATAATTTTACGAAGATCTATCGTCGAGTGTTTAACTAGGAGCTAGAATCTCTACAGATCGTACAGAGCTCACATCTCTATATATTGTCCGATTTTCGTATATTTCAAAGCCACAGATGTAGATTTGACCTTACTTGGGTCCAAAAGAATGTTGTATAAACTTGATCTATATATTTAAATAATAAGATTGTGATTTTATTACTAAATATTCTACTGATCATAGGAATAAGATATTTAAGAAACGAACTCGATTCAATTGAAAAATACGGAACAGTCCTTTTTAAATCTGTGTGTGTGTGTATGTCTCTGTTTGTTTGTATGTATGTAGGGCTTGGAAATTGATTGTTGCTTAACATGTCACACATACATGCATACGCATATTTATCACTGCCTGTTGTATGTGTAGAATAAGAGGAAGAATGACGAATTTTAATCAGCTTTGGCAGCGCATTTCATGTTGTGCATTATCCAAAAGTCACAAGTAGCCTATGACATACACCCACCTGGTCGCCAAACCCCGAATCCACTTAACACTCCCACCTGTCCACATACATACACACATGTGTGTATGGTTATAAATGTATGTGTCATAGCTAGTATGCGATTCAGCCAGGCACGCCCATGTTGGCTCTGCTTAGAAGCATGCCAGTACGCCCTATTCCCTCCATATACAAACACACATACACATAAAATATATATGTATGTGTAAAATATGTATATGTATATGTATATGTATGTATGTGTACACACCGTCTAGAGCTTTAACTGTGTATTTACCGTTCTTTTTGTGACACTCGTTTGACAGTTGGCGGCATTTTGAAGTTACCTTTTCAGTTTTTGCTAACTTGTCATTTGTTTGCGCTCTGATGTTGTTGTTGCGCCGCAATATGCGTGTATGTGTGCGTGCGTTTGTGCTGAAAGCTGCGATAAGGCGGCGTATGCGTCATGACCACAAACATAGACCCACCCGCCGCGCCATGGCAATGGAATGTGTTTGCCAAGTCAAACCACTTGTTGGCACCGTTCCAATGGGACCAACGGCAGCAACAACAATAAGAACAGCAGCAACACCAATTGCAACAAAAGACCCCATTACAACAAAAACAACAACAATTGTAGTACGCCCTTGTGCTATCTGCATATGAAAACGTTTCTTGGCGGCATAAAATATACAAAATTCGCAATATGTTTAATATGGCAAAGATGCATTGTGTTGGTGCATCTGTGTGTGTGTGTGTGTGGTGTAAGAGTGTGTGTGAATCATGTAAACATATTCATATGCACAGAATAAGCATGTGTTTGAAAATTTGAAAAAGCCCATCACTTGATCTGCACATGACTTATCGATAGCGATAGCGATAACAAATGGACTGTCTATTTTTGAATTGTGCATGTCATCAACGGTATTTGTCGACATCATCAATCATTTACATGCATACATGCATGTACATATGTGCGTGTGTATGTCTGCATTCTATTTTGATTATGAACACGAAAATAAATAAATACGAGAATTATTTGAAATCAGCTAAAAATATATAAAACAAACAATTCCGTTCGAATTGCTGTTAAATTTGTGAATAATTTTTAATTCTAGCAGATGTTTCTCGCAATATCTCTGTCTCGCTCTTTATATAAAAAACAACGAAATTGATGTTTGCCAAATATTATATTTTATATTTAATGATTTCGTACATTTTGCAAATGTGTTTCTTTTTTTTTTTTTATTCAAATATATGTATATTGTGGATTGTATATGTAAATCGAGGCCCAAAATAGAACCCAAATGACGAATAATTGCAAATTACGTTTCCAATTTTTGCGACAGTTGACAATCGCTGAAAATATGAATCTGGAACGATTCTACATGATAGATATTATACATTTATATATGTAAACATCTTCATAGTTGTTGGCATTTCGAAAATTAAAACAAAAAGCTGGCAACAGCATATCGATAAGTTGCTTAGCTATGGTTTGCAAAGTGCATGACAGCTTTTGTCATGCAGTTGCTCAAGTGCTAAGTGCATGTTAAATTTGGCCGGAACATGTGAATGCGACCTAAAACGAGAGCAACTTTTTTACGGAATATTCGATTTTTTGTCATTGATAGTAATTGTTCTTTCTGGGTTTCTTTTTTTTTTTTAAATATATAATTTTCTTTTTTTCTTATCTTCATTTGGAGTTTATTATATACTTATTTTTCTTTTGTTTTGTTCTTTGTTATAAACAAATTTGATTTTGGTTTGTGTGTTGCTGCCCATCATGAAAACGCATACAAATTATTATGATCGTTAACCGTTACCGTTACCGTTAACCGTTACCGTTGCCGTCATATCACAACCAACTAAATCGCATTCAAATGTCATACATCTGTATAAATGTTTCAACCACGACACAAAAAAAAACATGCAAAAAAAAAAAAAAAAACGTTCAGTTGCCGCGTCGAGCAAAGGGCACACTATCGAATGGCGATGGCGGAGCAGCTGGATCAGCAGCAAGCTCGACAAGCACAGCAGCAGGAACAAAGAATGACGATTGGTCAAAGTATCGTCGAGATTCTGCCATTGATAAGAAGCGTGCAGATGGCAATGATGCGACATCTAATGGCAGCAGAACGAAACGTTTGTCCAGCTCATGCTCATCATCATCCCTAGAACATTTCGTTGCCACATCCGCCCTGGACATGTACGAAAAGTACAGTCCGGCCAACTATAAACCCAACTGTGAACTGTCACGTTCCAGATCGGCGGTCAACGAAGCCGACACTGACAACCGCAACAACAGCAATAGCAATAGCAACAGCAACAGCAACAGCAACAGCAGCAGCAGCAATGATAACAGCACCACCTGCACCGTAACCGTGGACAGGCCGCGCAGCAGCCGCTACAGCCGCCTGTATAGCAGCAGCAGCGATGCCGGCGGCGATACGGGCGCAAGCGAAACAACACACACAACCAGGCAACGCAGTGGCTCCGGGCGATACACGATAACCTCCAGCAGCAGCAACGGGGATGTGCCAACGGCCACGTTCACGCTGCGCAACAATCGAACACGCCGCAATGGCACACATGATTTGACAGCTGCCCCAAAAGCGACAGCGTCAACCATCATCACCAATGGCCACGCGACGGCGGAGGACAGCAGCAGCAATGGGCTGGACGCCAAGCTCAACGGACTCTCGCTGCTGTCGACGTCGCCCAAGCGCAATGCAATCTATGATAGCTCCAACGCTGCGGCAGCGGATACCACAGACGATGTGGCGGCATCGACGGCGTCTGATGTTAATTGTCTGACCGCAACGGTCACAGTGGCCAAGGCTAGGGCCAATGCCAATGCGAATACCAATGGTGATGTCAACGGCGACGCTGATGGCGATGGTGATGTCAGTGCGACGGCGACGCTGACGCTGGCAGAGGGCGCCACTGCGCGCAGCAAGGTAAACAATGATGAAAGTTAAACAAAAATAAAAACCGAACCAGGATATCTAAGCACCTGCCACAGGCATTCAGAAAATTGCAAATGCTAACAAATTGAAATTACTAATCGCATGCCAGGGCTGCCACCCAGGACGAGCAGCTGACAATCGATAATGCGATAACATACTGCTCCACTAACTATCGATATTTGAATATTTGCGCGTCTTTTGCTTGTGTGTGCGTGTGTATGTGATTTTATGCATTGTTGCTTCTGCCATGCTTTCAAGATGAAAAGAAATACATAATAATTAAAACCCACCCAGCCTCAAACCCGATCTCATTCCTGGACCTTTTGTGTTAGGATAAATTAGTATTCATACTGCGGCTACGGTCGGTCGGCCACGCAATCAACAATCATTACAAGCACATGTATGTCTATATATATAATTATATATAATTATAATTATTAACAATTTATAAAAAAAAAACGAAAACAAATCGTGTACATACATGTACATATGTATCTGTATAGACATATATTGGAATCTCACTTGGCATTTATATTGTTTCTTTTGAATCCATGTTTCTTTGTTGTTTCATTTTGATATGATCTGACTTTCTCTTTATGTGATTCGTTTTGTGGCTAAACACCTTTACACGCATCTCTCAAATATTCAAACTACATCTATATATATATATATATATATGTGTGTATTTCTATATATTTTTAGCTATACTCTCGCAGTGCGCGTCCCTTTTAACTAACCAAACTAACTCACTTGATTATTAACTGTCAATACCTGACGAGGGCAAAAATCATATAACTATTCAATCCAGAGCAATCGAAACCAAAAACCAAAAACAAACATACTATGTATGTATATATATACATATAAATATATATAGTTATATATGTATATTTATATATATGTATATATATGTGTGTATATATATGTATATATATATTGTATATATATTATCGATAACGCAACTGCAGCTGTAATTAGTAGAACTGATCGAATCGATAATAATCTAGGCAGGCGCTCCATCAAAGTTCAAAGCATCCATATTTGAAAAATTTTAGTTTAACGCAGTAGTTTGTATTTACAAACAGTCCAAATGTGTGTATAAGGTAGTTTTGAGAGTATGTATTTTTGGTAAGCACAACACACCTTTTCAAATTTGATGAAATTAAATTGAACAAACACAAATAACAAGAAGAACATCAAGAACCCGTATAATAATAATAATAACTACAATAATAATCACAATCACAATCACGCAAATAATAGTAAAAATAATAATAATAAAAAGACCATCAAGGCGGATTAAATAAAATCATTATCAATATATATAGAAAGCAATAATTGAATAAAAAAAAAAAAAAGAAAAACAACAACAACAAGACCAAAAACTAGGAAGAAAGGAAATTAAGTCCAAATTTACATTGCATCGTGTGTAACCGCCAGCCGCAGCAGCAGCAGCAGCAGCAGCAGCAGTAATAGCAGCAGCAGCAGCAACAGCAGCGACCGCACGATAAGGAGCTGTTGAATAATGTTAGACATTAAGAAAACCAGAGGATTCCATAAGATTCCAGCGTCCAAACTGCAGCGCGAGGCAAACACTGCGGCATCAGCAGCAGCTGCAACGGCAACTGACGAACACCAGCAGCACCACCACCACCATCACCACCACCACCAGCAGCAGCAGCAGCAGCAGAAGTCCCAACAAAGAGGCAACAGTAGCAACAGTCATAGCCATAGTCATAGCCAGCAGCAATTAGCCCAGGCCCATCAGAGTCAGAGTCAGCACCAGGGTACGTCACGGCACGCCAAGTCATTGAAAACTAGTGCTAACAGCGGGCCTGGAGTCGGCGTCACTGTCCAGAAACCGGTGACTTCACTCAAATACGCCGCCAGCAACGGGCCAAACGGCAGCAGTGGGCGGGCGGCGGCGGCGGCGGCGGTTGGCAACGTGAATCCGGTGCGGGCGGCTAATCAGCGCTATTTTTTGGTATCCAGCTACAAAGATCCCAGCTTCTTGAAGGCCGAGTGCGATTTGGCGCATGCCCAGGTAACGCTGAAGCAGGCGCCAGCTGGTGGCAAGACGCACAAGCGTAACAAGGCGCTCGACGATCACAAGAATAATAACAGCAGCAACAAATCAGCAACAGCCGTGATAGCTAACGGCACTGGCAACGGGACTTCAGTTAGTGAGATGCGTCGAACGACGACGCTTAATGGCAATAAAGCGGGCGGCACCAGCAGCAACAGCACCAACAACACCAACAGTGGCGCCAACTCGTCGAACAGAGCAACTACAACAACAACAACGACGACGACGACGACAGCATCAACAGGAGCTGGCAACTCAGCCGTCCACAGGATTGATATCAAGTATAGCCATAGCCAGAGCCAGAGCCAGAGCCATAGCCATAGCAGCAAACAGCAGCTGACATTGGGCCAAAAGACAACTGTTGCAGGAGGAACAACGGCAACATCCTCATCCGCTGGAATTGGAGCAGGACGACTTGTGGCTGGTAAACTGAAGCCTCTATTGCTGCACTGCAACAACAATCACAGTGCGATGAACAGTCATAGCAGCTATAATAATAATAACAACAACAACAGCAGCGCCACCAACAATAGCAACAGCAACAACAATATGCAACGCCAGCAGCAGCAGCAGCAGCAACAACATGACGACATTAGCTATATTGATAGCGACGATATACCGACCAGCACAGCAGCAGCAGGAGCAGCAGCGGCGACAGCGGCAACAACAACCACTGGATCATCAGCAGCAATAATAACAACAACAACCGCATCGGGCGCCATATCATCTAGCCAAAAGATGACAAACATTTGCTACTTCAAGCCCATAACGCCGCCACTGCAGCTGCGCAACCAGCAGCTGGGCGGAGATAAATCCAATGGTGGTCAGCGCTCGATCCGGCCCAAGTCGACGATAGTCTCGTTCACCAATTCGAACTTTGCGGCCAGCTACGAGAAGTTTAACAACTACAAGCACACAAATGGCGAACAGCGGCCCAAGGAGCGGGAGCGTGAACGGGATCGTGTGGAGCGGGACAATAGCGCCGGCAGCAGCAGCAATGCGCGACGCTATGGCATCGATTCGGTCAGCATTAAGGCGTCCATTGAGAAGTTTAACAATCTGAGCGAACAGAAGCGACAACCGGGACCGTTGCGCAGTAATGCAACAACATCTGCGTCTGGCTCGACAGCAGCAGCAGCGGCAGCGGCAGCAGTTGCAACAGCAGCGGCAGCAGCAGCAGCTGCGGAAGGCACCTCAAACAATGCTGGCGGCAGCAGCAGCAATCTGCAGCAGCGCTTCAGCGGCGATATGGAACATACACGCATTGCGGCTGGCTATAGCAGCTCCTTGACGCGTGCCGCTTATCGCACCGGCAGCAGCAACAGCAATACAGCAACGGCAACAGCAGCGACAGCAGCGGCAACGGCAGCATCATCATCAGCTGTGGCGCCCATGAGCAAGTCGGCCAGCCGGATTGCCCACGGCCTGTTGGCGAAGGCGGCCAACTCGGAAAATGCTGGCACAGCGATGGCAACAACAGCAGCAGCAGCAGCAGCCGCGGCAATGACGCCAACAACAACGGCCAATGCAGCGGCCAACAACAGCCACAAGGTAAATGTGCACCTTCATCACAACAACGACACAGCGGGAGCAGCAGCAGCGGCAGCAGCTGCTGCTAACTCGACCAGCGCCTACACTTACTCTGCCGCCGCCGCAGTCAGCAGCGTCGCAGCCAACGACAGCGTAAGTGGCGCTCAAATAGCACTTGGGGCAGGCGCCCAGTGCCCAATTTCTCTTTCTCTATCTCTTCCTGCTCTCTCTCTCTTTCTCTTTATCTCACATTATGTGTTTTAGTTTATGGTTTCTTCAACTTTGTAAAGTCTTGAGCAATAGCTGAAGGGGCTGCTGTCCTAGCGTTCATGTCCATCCTTATCACAAGCACAGACCACAACACCGTTATTCGTTTTAATTTTGCAGCCAACCAACAAACAAACAAACAAATATATATCAATCATCATTTTGTGTCTGTCTGTGTGTGAGTGTTTGATTTTATTGTAGATTTCTTTTTACATACATATATATAGTATATATACTTTCGTGTAGGTTTGGAGGAACAATGCGTCTTGATTTCTAATTGGATTTTGGTTTCGTTTTGCCTTTGTTGTTATCGATATAGTTATACGAAAAATAATCCCTTGTTTTGTTTTAGCTAACCCTCGCTTGCTTAAACCGCCATGTTATTATTCGTTAAGTTACGTTATGTTTGCATGCCACAATTTGTTTATATCCTTTTTTATTGTTATCCGCCATACACGTACACACGCTCATGCTCACACCCACATACTCACACTCACTTGCTCGCTAAAACATCGATACCAACGCCAGCCAATATCGATAGATGCATCCATTTCTAATGATCGATTGCTCGCTGCTTTTGAATAACTAACTGTAATTTTATCATTGCATTTATTTTATTTTTATATTTTTCGTTTTACTTATGCCCACTTTTCGTGTTACGTATCACTAAATTGAAATTGTGTTTCGTGCAGGGATCGCGCAATGTCGCAAGCAGCGTTCGCTCAGTGCTGCCGCCAGTGTCGCCAACGTCGAGCCGTTACTGGGACCGGGATCGGGACAGCGGACGGAACAGTACCAACGCCACAACCTCTTCCATTGGCTCATCGTCGCTGAGCACGAAGCATAATAGCCTGGACGAGGGCTACAAAAGCAGCCGAGACGAAAAGTTCGAAGGTGAGTAACGATCCATCTAGCCCTAATATACCCCAAGTCCAATGAGACTAACTACATCCCCTGATATGAAGAGAAGTTGTGTATGCGTTCGATATATATCGATCACGAGTCTTCTTATGAGCATAGATATATTATACCATTATTCATTGTAGTAGTATTTACATAAACATATTTTTAAAATTTATTTTGATCACCTATGCCATGCGAAAAGTGTGCTTTGGAGTTCGTTCTACTACAAATTGTAAAACAAATAGGCCTTAACTTTTTTTTCGATGCAAGCAATAGACAGTAATAAATTTTGTTCGTGTAACATAAACAAATATATTTATATATATGTATATATAAATAATATAAAATATATAAACAATATCACATGCGCATACATACAGATATTTGCATATAGCAAGAGAGCGAGAGAGATAGAAGACACAGCATTTGGGAAGAACAAGAAGAGGTATATGTATAATTTGATAAACAGATAAATATATATACGTATATATATTAAAATTATAATATTCTTACTTTAGTTCGCCCTTAAGTAGGCTGTGCTCGGCCCGTTGGTAATAGATGTCAGTTAGATTATTTCAGTATGCCAGTTGACATAGTGAGCCAGATATACATACGTAGGAACTTCCGCATAAACTAGATCTCAAATCCATTCACAATGCCGGCCGTCAATCGAACGCGAAGAAGGCCAATCAGTAACACGCCATCCGAATTGGGGAGTGCCTTTTGGGCCACGCCCAGTTAGCTATAATAACTCCATTGGCTTATAATAATTAAAAATTTTGATTGAATCCCATTACCCACAGGTCTATGCGGTCTGAGAAATATTGGAAACACTTGCTTCATGAACTCGGTCATCCAATGCCTGAGTCACACGACTGAGCTGACGCGCTTCTTGCGCGCCCATCACACCAACACGCGCACGGCAACCTCCAAGGATCAGCAAATACTATACGGCAAGTGTTCCATTCAAATAAAAAATGTTTATATTATATACTTACATATATACATATCTGTTGCCTTACAGAATTTGCCAAACTCATACAGGAAATGTGGACGTCAAATGTGCATAGTGTAACGCCGATGGAACTGAAGCGTGCCTTTTCGACAAAGCATCGCATGTATAGCGATTACAATCAGCAGGATGCGCAGGAGTTTCTGCGCTTCTTTCTTGACTCGCTGCACTCGGCACTGAACACCGGTGTCAAAGGTGAAACGCTTAACATTGACGATAATCTCAGGTGAGTGCTCACTTACACAACAAACAACATCGACGAGAAACTAATCTATGTGGATGGTTTTCAATTGCAGTGACAATAAGAAGGCCGATCTGACTTGGGAGTGGTATGCTAGGCATGAGAATTCCCTGATACGAGATTTGTTTGTTGGTCAATTGAAGAGCACACTGAAGTGTACAACGTGTGGCAATACGAGCGTTACCTTTGACCCATTCTGGGATCTGAGTGTGCCACTACCATCGTCATCGCGCTGCAAATTAGAGGCCTGCTTAGATCTGTTCATTAGAGAAGAGGTGCTAGATGGCGACGAGATGCCCACGTGCTCCAAATGCAAGACACGCCGAAAATGTACCAAAAGCTTTACCATACAGCGTTTCCCCAAATACCTGGTGATACGTAAGTGCAACCGACCAACCGGACTATATATAGTATATATAGTATATGTAGACATATGATTTACGTTTCTTTTGCTTATGCTGCTTCTTGCAGATCTAAAACGTTTCTCAGAAACACGCTGGAGCAAGCTCTCGAATATTGTTGAGTTCCCTACGGCGGATCGGGAGCTGAATATGGCCTCATATGGGGCAAACGCAAATTCGAATGTGCATTATTCGCTCTATGCGATCTCCAATCATATGGGTATGTTCCAATCCATTGCAGAGATTGCAGCAAGTGCTAATCATACTTATTGCTTAAACAGGCTCAACGGCTGGCGGTCACTACGTGGCCATCTGTAAGCATCCAGTCTCCCGCAAGTGGCATGAGTTCAATGATAATAGGTAACGTATACGTTCATGCGATACCCTCTGAATTATAATGTTAGTATTGATTGATTAACTGTTCATATTTATCGCATTCATTGTAGCGTTAGCGATGCTATCCCCGAGAACTGTCTCGTTTCATCCAGTGCCTATATCCTATTCTACGAACGAGCGTAAAGCTAACTCTAACTAACTACTCGTCCACAACATCCTGGCAGTTGAATTCAGAAACTATGTTGCGACAGCTACAATACCAACAGCAATAACAACACCATCAACTGCTACAAAGAAAATAGGAAAAAAAAAGAGTAAAACAACAAAACGACTAAAAACAAAAAAAGAGAAAAGAATGTGCAATAAGAACAGCAAGTCAAACCCCTAGTAAATGTTTCGTAGAATTTTGCAAATTGTGCAAACGTGCGTAAATTTAAATTTAAATTTAACTATAAACTAATTCTTAACTCAAGTCCAATTCCAAATAACAACAATGTCGGAATTGGATGGCAAAGCATGTATATGGCGATCATTGGAGGCGAATGATGTAAATAAGAGATGGATAACACCCAAAACAGACACCAAATAAGAACGTAAAACACATCAAGAAGAAACGTAAAATGAAATAATGAACGAACAAAATACAAGAATCAGACAATTTATGTAACACAGCTTTCGGCAAGCCAGAAAAACAAAACAGCAGCAATCGGTCAACAATAGAAAAAAAGCAAAAGCTCTTAACTAAGTATAAACAAATACCTTAAAGCAAATGCAGATGCAGCAGCTAAACAGAATGAAAAGAAAACTTAGGGAAGAACTAATGCAAAGCAACACAGAAACACTAGAACAGAAACAAAATTGTTATTTCTTCAAAATTTTGTCTTGCATTTCTCTGGCATATATATTTATTTAGTTTTCTTAGCGTCTTTATCGGAAATTTTGATCTATCCTTCCAGTCATTGAATATATATATATATATATATATTTATATGTATAGAAACATACCCTCACTCTATGTATGTAGCATATGTACATGTATGTATATATATTTATATATATCATCTATGTGTGTATAATATGTACAGTTGATCGAAGGCTAAATATTAAAGCAAGAGTGGTTTGCCGAAAGTCCTGTCAAGTGGTTGTGTAAAAAAGAAACTAAATTAATAACAAACGCAAAGAGAAACAAACAAACGAAAGATAAAAAGCAAATAACAGCAAGAAACCAAACAACACAATTGCTTAAGAACTTTCAAGAAAACGAATTGCAATCAACTAGTAATTTGCGAATTCACCTAAACTTGTGCAATGTATATCAGTATATATTTCATAAAAAAAGCAACAACAGCAAAAAAAAAAAAACAAACAAAAAAAAAAAAAGCAAATTGATCATTAATCAATAATAATAAAAGGAGCAAACACAAATGCAGTAAATAGGGGGAAAATTAGGGGCGCTTAGCAGCGCAGCTCCATAAAAAAAAAAAAAAAACACAAAAAACACACACACAACATAGCACACACACATTTACACACTCAACATAACTAGCAAAAACAAAAAGCTTTTAGCAAATGATTAGTTTATTAATAAAAAATAACAACAACAAAACCTGAGAGACAAGAAAGGTCATTTCTGCGCGAAGTGCAAAATTTATATATACATATATATAAAGAAAAGAAAAAACCAAATGACAAAGTAAAACTAACTGAAGCTGCATTGTGAAACGTACTTATGATAAATGCTAGCAGCTAATTATATATTATATAATTATAATGATGAGCATAGCACGAAACAAAAACAACAACAAGAACACCAACTATCAAACATAAAACAAACAAACACACACACACACCACAAAGCAAATAATTTAATTAATAATTAATATTTACATTTTGTTCCAATCAAATTCAAATCAATTGAAATCAATCCAATCGTCCGCCGCGTTCAACGTTCGATCTGAACATCAAACTAGTCTCAAAGTTATGGACATTGTATCTGGCGATACAGAGAAGGAGAACCTTGTTATGCATATAATATGAGTATATATAGTTTGTTTTGTATGTACTTTAGTTGATATTTTGCCCCATTTAGCCCCGATGATCCATCCCTCATACACGCACATACATTAATAAACATATATATATATATATATATATATATATATATATATATATATATATATATATATATATATATATATATATATGTTTGAGATATATATATATATATATATATATATATATATATATACATATATATTTTTAAATTAAATTTTTTTTATTTTTTTGCTATTGCTACCTTATTTGTTGCCTATTTAATTTATTTATTTATTGTATTGTATTTTGTATTTATGTAAATGATACACGAAGTGCAACCGAAATACATATGTATGTATGTATGTGTACATAATATTGCTTGTGCCCCAAAACAAGCAAGATTCAAACAATAAATACACTTACTTGCCCCACACACATAACGAGCTACTATAACTTAACAAACACACACACACCGAGCATAAACACTAAAACAAACAACAAAAACAAGACACATTATTTATTTATTTGTAAAAGAATGAAACAACAACTACTACTATATATATTTTTTCTGGCTTAACTATTAGTTAAAATTATAATTGTTGGATATTTTACTAACGTTACAAACAAAAAAATGAAAAATAAAAAAAAGTCTAAAAAAGATAACGAAATATAAAATGCAAAAAACAAAATCCAATTTAATTGGTTTTATTGGTTTGAAAATTAAGATCTAACTGAAATAGAGGCGCTATAGCGTCTTTCTCTCATTGTCTTTTACTTTGAGACATATTGTTTTGGGGTAATTTTACGATCGTGAGTGAGAAAGCTATACATGTGTATATAGCTTTCATTTGTATATCAGGTCGTCTGGCAGCTGCGAATCTCTTCTGATTGGACTTTGAAAGAAGAATCGATGTGCGTAATGGGTAATTAACGTAAAGGAAGAGACAAATCTTTACGTTTTATACCACTTCGGTTTTTTATCGATAGCTTTTTCAATACATTTACAAAATATACATTCCCTTTTGGTTTGTATCGGAGGCTGCCGCACCGTGATGTTTTCTATTGTGTGTCCGTTAATGTGAATGTGTGTGAGTACGTGTGAGTATTCGTGACAGTGAATGTGCGCGTGTCTGCTTGTTTATATTTATGTTTGATTGAGTCTGCTGTGTGCATGCGAGATCGCATGTGTGTGTGTGAGTATGGCTCTCCTTTACATACGGCAATAGCCAATGATTTCATAACGAACAAAAAACTATGCAAAACTGTTATTACAAAATATATATATATATATATACGAAATATTCATTCATGTGTAATCCTCTCAAACGTATGCAGCGGCGTTAAAAAATATGTTATCCGATTGTATGTTTTCAGATGCGTCTGGGCGGGAAGATAATATCCAGAAACAACATTTTCCTTAATGAGCGTGAAAAAGCTTAACATAAAAATACAACTAGCCAACTGAACGCCGAATGGCAAGTGACAACGACAAAAGGCGACGATGAAGGCGCCTTATAACCGTCGATCATTTGCGATTCTCATCCTTGCTAGCCTTGGCACTGGCGCGCGTAGCCTTCGTATCCTCGTACATCTTTATCAACTGGCTCTTGGTTGGCATCGGCTTGATATGACCCCACTGCACCAGATATTTGATAGATAACGTGGTTCCACCTATAAAAAAGAAACACAAAATATATGCAATATGATTCTTCTATTATTTTTCGATAGCCCTTACCCAGTGTCAATGCATAACGCACTGGTGTAGCCACCTTATAGCACAGATAGGCGATCGCGTAGTGGCCCATATCAGAGCCTTGCACCTTCTCAATGATGTTCTCGCTCAGGTGTAAGTACTGAAGCACGGCAGGTACGTCGACGCCGCTGTTGACCAAATATAAAGTTACCATATGAAAAATTGTGGGTGTTAGATGAAGGTGCTGCCAGTCGCTCACCTTTTTGATAGGTAGTAAAAGCCGCCGAACCATCCAATCGATGTTATCACGTGGACAGGTATAAGCACATACCAATATTGCTTATACATGTGCTTGAACTTGGCGAAGAGGCCCATGTTTGCCGCCTCGCCAAACAGTTCGTTAGAGTTGGACACATTGGTGGTGGTGGTGCTGGTACTGGTGCTGTTGCTGGTACTAGTTGTGGTGGTGGCCGTTGATGAGGATTTGGTGTCCGTCTTGTTGGCGTTTGCACAGTGCGAGTTTGATTTAGTGCTAAGACGCGCATAGCTGCGATATCTGGCGACAAGCAGCGGTGACAATATTGTTGTCGCTGTCGTGGTTGTTGAAGGCAATGTTGATGAGGATAATGATGAGGCTGATGATCTGCCATTTCCCTTATTGATGCTGCCCAAGAAGCTGAGGCAACGTGGATTTAGATTGAGATTTACTCTAGGGCTGGCGATGCGCGCTAGAATGCAGACAACGCCGCTGCCAACACCGCGGCCGCAGAGCAGGCTCGATAAAAGTCCAACCGTTACCATGGCTTATGCTCTGTGGTACACGAATTTATATATTTTTTTTTTTTTGGGATTTTCTGTTTTTATTTTTGACGAATATTATAAATCGCCAGTTGTATATAGGGCTGAAAGGTATTAGAAACGTTTGCTATGTATTTTATATTTCAATATTTTTTCCTACTTTACCACTCAGCTTCGGGCAACCCGGCACAATTTCACCTGCTGATTGGAGATGTGTGCGTGAACATACATATATGTTTGTCGCGGCCCGGACGCAACTACTTTTCAAATTTGAAATATATGGTATAAAATCTAATAGACATTGTCCAGAAAATATTCTAATAAGTAATTTAATGTTGGGATGATGTTCGTGTTTGTTGTGGGTACTTTTGTATTTAAGATTTAGGGAAGTGTCAATTTGTATGAGGAAAACTATTTATGAAAATCACGACATTTATAGTCACGATCTCCAAACTAATTTTATCAGCATTGCCATACTTTACTTAGGTAAATCAGCTGATGTACTAGCAACACGTGTTTTAGATTCGTTGGCAACGCGGTCTTTTGCCAAATTTGTGAATTTCTATATAATGGCATGTAGCGATGTATCGATATTTTTTGTATATAAATATCATTTCAATTCACTTCGAGTGTGTGGCGGATTCGCAAGCTTTATTTATATTTGGTAGTTTTCAGAACATATTATAAATTGAAACTTTTAAGACGTCAAGCGGCATGGCAACTGCAACTGGTGAATTGTCTAAGAAGTAAGTACACGCAATCATTGCTTAAATTGAAGTGTTTATCATCATCAAAAGGCGGCCAATTAGTCAGCAATTGTGAGGTTAAGTCGAACTGTTTCGTTGGTTGAAAGCGGTTGATAGATAGACAATAAATAAAATATCACCTGAAAGTAACGTCTGCAAAATGATTGCACGCACCATGATTAGACACTTGGTATATTCGTCATCAATCAAACAACTAACGGTGACAGCTTCGAGATATTACCATGTGGCCGACATGCAGCTGGCCCCAAGTAAACGTACAAAACTGTTCGTAAAATTAGCTCGGTCTCATGAAATTTATCTGATATGGTGCTTATTTTCAGTGAGCTGAAACGCCGGCTGAAGGCTGAGCAGAAGGCCAAGGAAAAGGCAGAAAAGGAGGCAACTCGCTTAGCTACCGAGACTCCCGATGCCGGTCACAAGAAAAAATCTTCCGCCGAACAGGAAGAAGAGATATCACCCAATGAATACTTTAAGCTGAGATCAGCTGCTGTTGCCGACTTAAAGCAAACATCTGAAAATCATCCGTATCCACACAAATTCCACGTTAGCATCTCACTGGAAAACTTTATTGAACAATATGCTCAGCTCAAAGATGGCGAAACGCTCGACCAGGTCAATTTAAGTGTTGCTGGACGTATTCATGCCATACGCGAGTCCGGTGCCAAGCTCATATTTTACGACTTACGCGGCGAGGGTGTCAAGCTGCAAGTGATGGCCAGTGCTAAATCATACAAAAGTGAAGCGGCGTTCGAGCAAGACACGGCCAAGTTGCGTCGTGGCGATATCATTGGCGTCAATGGTCATCCCGGCAAGACCAAGAAGGGTGAACTATCCATTATGCCCACTGAGCTGAAACTCCTCTCACCCTGTCTGCACATGCTGCCGCATCTGCATTTCGGACTTAAAGACAAGGAGACTCGCTATCGTCAGCGCTATCTAGATCTAATACTGAACAACAAAGTGCGTGAAAATTTCCAGATTCGCGCAAAGGTACGTGACAAACACATTAACAGTTGTATGTACAATATTATCATTAAATAAATGTAAACCTATAATATCGTGCCTCTTCATACACAGATAATATCATATGTCCGCCAGTTTCTGGATCGCCTGGGCTTCCTTGAGATTGAGACACCAATGATGAATATGATTGCTGGTGGCGCCACTGCCAAGCCCTTCGTCACTCATCACAACGAACTCAAAATGGATCTGTTCATGCGCATAGCACCAGAGCTGTATCACAAAATGGTTGTTGTAGGCGGTCTGGATCGGGTCTATGAGATCGGTCGGCAGTTCCGCAACGAAGGCATCGATTTGACCCACAATCCTGAATTTACCACTTGTGAATTTTATATGGCATATGCTGACTATTACGATCTAATTGAGATTACTGAGCAAATGTTATCTGGCATGGTTATGGCCATTCATGGTTCGTACAAAATTAAATACCATCCGGATGGCCCCGAAGGCGTCGAGCAAGAGATTGACTTTACGCCCCCATTCAAACGTGTCTCTATGATCAAGACTCTCGAAGAGAAGCTGCAGGTCAAGTTTCCATCAGCAGACACATTCAACAGTCCGGCTGCCAACGAGTTTCTGTCCCAACTGTGTGCCAAGCATCAGGTAGAGTGCCCGCCGCCACGCACCACCGCCCGTCTGCTAGACAAACTGGTTGGTGAGTTCATCGAGGAGACATGCATTAATCCGACATTCATTTGCGAGCATCCGCAAATAATGTCGCCACTCGCCAAGTACCATCGCAGTGTGCCCGGCCTAACGGAGCGCTTTGAGCTCTTTGTGGCCAAGAAAGAGGTGTGCAATGCGTACACAGAACTTAACGATCCCGTGGTGCAGCGGGAACGTTTCGAACAGCAGGCTGGCGACAAAGCCGCTGGCGATGACGAGGCTCAAATGGTGGACGAGAACTTCTGTACAGCGCTTGAATACGGCCTGCCACCCACCGGAGGATGGGGTATGGGCATTGATCGACTAGCCATGTTCCTGACCGACTCAAATAACATCAAGGTGCGTACCAAATCAGAAGTTTCCAACAAAACTATTTACTTTCATACCCTAATATATATATGATGTTCTCTTGCAGGAGGTGCTCTTGTTCCCTGCCATGAAACCCGAGGAAGCGAATCGCACACCAGCAGCTAATGCAGCCGATGAAAAGCAGTCCGTCCAATAATAGACGAGCACTCAATTACCCAGTTACAAACCCCCCCACACACACATACAGACAACTGTAATATGTGTCGCTAGAATTCTCTGTGTATTGCTTTAAATTATTAACTGAATTAAAAATGTATTAGCTTCCGACTTCAATTATACAATCCTCGTTTTTCTTTGTATGACATTAGGAATTGCTGCGTTAGCCTAGTGAAGTAGTTGATCAATATTAAAAAAGAAAAGAATAAGCTCCGCATTGAAAAATAAATTTTTTTATTTCATGTTTTGCAACGAGAAAGCTCATAGTCTTTTCTTAGCAATTTGTATTCCGTTAAATTGCTGAAATTAAGTAACTGTATACCCAAACATTGGGTAGAAACATTTTAAAACAAAATTAAAATGAGAAAACATTCGCTGTTCGATTAAAGCTAAACATATGATTAAAGTTACAAAGTGCCTGAGTGGGTCTGATACTGATCATTAATAGTCGGGCTCATCAGCTGGCTTCTGGTACACGGGTCCCTTCTTCCGCATATACTGATTGATAAACTCATATGACTTATTCTTCACCGATTCAGTGCAGGCCAGTTGATTTCCGGTCGAGTCACAGTAGCGCATCTCTTTGGTCGTTATGTGGTGGCTCAGCTGAAATATATGATTCAAAGGATAAGAATATTCACATTAGTCGACTTCTCTTAATACAGGTTTGTATACCCTGTATCCATTGAGGTATGCAGGTCATATTGATTGTCATTGTCAGACCACATAAAGTATATGTATATATTATAGAAGAATTGAGCACTGTTTGTCTGTCTGTCCGTCGGAAATCAGGGCACCCCGATTTAAGTTTTCTGATTTGTTTTTTACTATTACTTACTCGTTTGATGAGAAACTTATAGTCCTCATCGCTGACAATGCGACCCATCGGACAGCTTTCCTTGCGATATGGACGCAGGAACTCCGCCACATGGCCGCTAATCTCAAAGCGAAACTTCTCGACGCTGCTGGATGAGCTGCTCAGTGACCTGAAAGGAATAATTGAATGATTGGGATTCGCTCGATTCTGTTTGTGGAGTTGTTGTGCTTACGTTTGGCGCTTCCTTTCGCGATCATCGCGATGTTTCTTCTTGCTGTCCGTCAGTTGGGGTGGCATGGGCAGTTTACGTTTTGTGTTGAGCGGGGAATCTGCATCGGAGTCGCTCGATGTGAGCCCCAATATGTTGTTCTGGATAGACTCTTCTGATTTACTTGAGTTCTTGCTGGCATTGAGAGCCACAATCTCGTCCACACGCGCATTGTCATTGCCGTTGACAACTATGTCGCTCAATGGCTGGGCGGCACAGGCCGGGTTTGGCTGAGACTCCTCATCGGAGGAGTACAAATAGTCTTGAATGGGCACTACATCACTGGCTTGGTCAGCTCCAGCTGGTTCCGCGTTGTTGGCCTCACTGTTGGTGCGACGAAAGAGTTCCTTGCGGCGGCGTATTTTCTCCTTGTTCTCCTTATACTTGCGCGACTCCTGCTGATTGTGGATACGGTCCTCCTCACGTCGCGGACTGATCATACAGACGGAGACGAGTCGCTTGCGACGTATTTCGCGACGCTCCTGGACCTTTGCCTCGATATACTGACGCAGCGACTTGGGACTGAGGCTGCCCACATAGTCCTCATCAATGTCGACCAGCACGTCGGGATTCACTTCCTTCTTCTCGGCTGGCTTCTCCTTCACTGGTGAATCGTCTATCAGCTTTTCCAGACGTTGCTGTGCATTCGGCGGCTCCCACTGCGGGATTCGATCCCGTAGATTATAATAAAAGATGTCGCCTTCGGGGGTCACATGAAAATGCCAGGATGGCGGCAATGGCTCCACATTGGCGGGCAACTTATACTTCACATCATCACCGTGCTCCGGCGACTGCTCGTCGCTGACATCGTCGCTGTCTTTGCCGCAACGCAGCGGCGCTGCAACCGGCATATCCTCACTGTTGAACCATTCCTTGGTCTCCGTATCCTGGTAGAAGGGCAGCTGCTTCGGATCGGTGCTTAGGTCAGCGCCAAAGTATTCGCAGCGCACCTCATGCTCGCGCCTATCTCTGTTCCACATACGCCTGTCCGCCTTGTCTTTCGCCGCCTAAAAGGGATGGAAGATATAGTATATACATATATATATACAGTCCAGTCGTGATGAGAGTATTCTGGCATTTACATACCTTTTGCTCGAACAATGAACGTCGCATCTTCTTAGTCATGGCGCGACGCAGATTATCGGATTGGCAGCGAGGATCTGAATTGACCATGCCATGGCTGATGCCAGCGGCGCCTTCTCCGCGTCCATTGCGCTCCTTGAGCTGCGGCTTGGGCTTCTCGTAGCGATTGCTGGTGTCGCGCCTGAAGCGATCCTGCCGATAGGGATCGCTGTTTAGGGTGGCGGAGGCGCTGTTGCTGTTACTGTCCTCCAGCGCTGTGGCCGCGTAGGGCGTCTGCTGTTGGCGATCCGCCTCGCGTTCATGCTCCTTCATCTGCTCGATACGCTCACGCTTGGGTATACGAAAGGTTTCGGGCAGGGCACTCCATTTTTGCAGCAGCGCCACCATACGTTGACGCAGTGCATCCAGCTCCGCATTTGGTTTTGATTGTTGCTCCTGTGTAGCTTTTTGCTTCTTAGAACGGCCCTTCGCCAGGCTGGTGCTCCAGAGCTCCACGCTCTGATAGACGCGACTATCGTTGAGCATTGTCTTATTCGGTATGGGCAGCGATTCCAGGGCCTCGATCAGTGCCAGCCGCAGTTGATGGTCGTTGCCACTCTCGCTGATCCAGGCGTGCAGCAGTCGCAGGCCATGGTAGTCAAGGAAGAGCCGACGGCACGGCAGCTCACCATGCGTGAGCACGCCCAACAGCTCCAGGCGTGTCTCCAGCAGCTTGGCGCGCACCATGCAGCGCGAGAAGCTAAGCGTGTTCGCTTGATTCTTGAGGCCGCTGCGATTGAGCTGACGCAGCTGCGCCAGCACATCCGGATCTTCACGCTTGTCGGGTATGCGCGAGGCAAACTTGTCGCCAATGTTGCTGCCGGACGGACGTAGCCAGCGTCCGGCTTTGTACTCGCGATCCTTGGGCTTTGTGGGCTTCTTGCGCGGTGCTGACGCCGCCACCTTCGATGACTTGCTCGCCTTTGGCTTGATGAGCTTGGTTGCTTTGGCTTTGTGGCCCTTCTTGTCTGTTGCTTCCACTCCTTGTGCCTGTTCCGGCTCCAGTTCTGGCTCCTGTTCATCGAGCTCCTCGGATTCACTGCCGCTCTCCGCGTCCAACTGCTCACCTTCATCCGAGTCCGGCTCGCCGCCAATCCAGCCGCGACAATTTTCCGACTCGCAGTAGCAGCGCTGAGCATCACGGCCATAGCGCTGATACTGATAATCGAAGGTGATCTCCTCCCCAGGCAAGATCGTCTTAACGCTGAAGAAACCAATGCGCAGCTCGCCATTCACCGTCCACTTCTGGGTCTCGGCATTCGGATCACAGCTGTGGTTGATGTACCGCGAAATGTTGCCCTTGACGGTCGCATCGATGATCGCCTCGCCCCTCAGCGCCATAAAATAATAGTGGCGATTGCGGATCTGCGAATAGTGATGCTGGCGGCGCTCGAACTCCTCGCTGTCAATGACCTCGCCCACATATTCCATTATGAATTCGCCCGGCGGTATCAACATCTCCGCCGTAATGCCGCACCCCTTCTTCTTGGTGCGGAAGACGCGGCAGGGCCAGCCCTGATGCTGCTGGAACCGTTTGTTCGTGCAACGGTCGCCATAGGTGCACAGCGGACCGCACTCGATCATTAGCATTCGATTGATGCAGCCGGCGCCGCAGCACAAATGCCCCATGGCCTCCTCGTCGCCGGTGAGGAAGCAATCACATTGCATCTCGGCATTCTCCTTGCTCACTTGACGGGCGCAGTGGTAGTAATTGTCCTGCAACAGCTGAAACGAGTTGAGGCCGTGCTGGCGCAGGAACTGCTCGTTGATGGCATCGATGATCGCCAACTCGGCCAGCTGATCCTCCAGGCTAACGGGTACGGTCGACTGATTATTGACGTTGCTGAAGCAGCTCATGCTGCTCAGGCTGGATCTGGGCAACTGCGGCTTCTGCTTGATGCGATGCGAGCGACGCACTGCATTGCCCTTGCCATTGTCATTGCTAGTGTTATTGCCATTATCATTCCCATTACCAGCTGCATCGTCCGTGGCGCTATTGCTGGGCTGCGGCGATGTTGAGGGTGTCGTGATTGGTGTCTCAATATTTGCCACACAGCGTGCAAACTCATCTTCCTTCGACTCCTGCCCATTGTCCGGCTTGTAGTCGCCATCTTCTATGATCTGGGCAAGATCTGTCAGCTCAGCTGTTGGCGTTGGTATGCCACAGCTTGGCACCTTGTTGCCGCCACCGATGGATTCCGAAGACTCGGACGCTTCGCTGATTTTGCATTGCGATGCGCTGGAATCGGAGTCAATGGAATCTTGGCAGCTCAGGCTGTTCGACAGCCGCTTAGACTCTGAGGCGTCTTTGCCGGACACATTCTTCGCATTTGCCTTGGACACGGGATCAAGCTCGGGATTAGCCTGCGCTGCCTTCAATGGAGACTGCAAGTTGCCTTCTTTGTCGGTGGGCAACGTTAGAGAGTCCTCGGCACGATCCTTACAAATGGTACTTTCACAAGAAGATGAGTCGATATTGATATTGGTGGTGGTGGTGCTGTTGGTGGTGTTGGTATCGGTATTGGTATCGGTATTGATGGTGTTGATATCGGTATTGGTATCGGTATTGCTGGTGTCGGTATCGGTATCGATGCTGGTGGTGGCGTTGGTGTTGTTGTGGCTTTCCTGTTCCTGTACCGGCTTGGCCGATTGCTTCTCTAATTTAAGTTTCTTTTTAGTTTTCTCTTCCTGGCGCATCTGAGCGCTGGCCTTATCCATTGCCTTGAAGAGCGCATCGCACTCAACGACGCTGGTTGTTTTCTCCTTTTCCTGATTGATTTTCTCGTCCACATTGCTGGAGGCTGTGGAAATGGAACTCGGATTAGTCTTTTCCTCTCCTGCTTTTTGCTCGGCCGTCTCCAGCTTGGGGTCAGCTTCCAATGGGCCTAACGATTTCTCTATGCAGGATGCCGTGTCGGAGACGATAGGCACCGAAGCGCTGGAAGTCGACGAGTTAGATTCCATTTGAGTGCTGCACAAATTATCTGCAGAGTGCTTCAGTTCTGAAGTTACAATATTGTTTGCTTGCTGCTCTGACTCTACAGTGCTAACTACGATTGACAAATCAGTGCTAGCTTGATTTGACTTCGAGGCAAAACCAAATTCCGATCGGATGTCTGATTGGATGTCAGCGTTAGGCATTTCTTGCTGTGATTCTAATTTGCAAATGGATTCCGATTCGTCATCCAATTGCGGCAACAGCCCTAATTTAGAGCTATTGCTGATATTATGCTTATTGAGATCAGTGGTTGCAGCTGGTTGCGACTCCTGTTCGTATGATCTACTCTCCAGCACTATTTTGGAGCTGACGGCTGCGATTTCAGCAAATGTTTCTTCCAACGTCATTTTGCAGCCGTTTGTGGAGCCCCGCAAACTGGAGCGATTGCTACGCCGCCTGGCCGAAGGCACCGGCCCAGCACAGTCCTCCACTTGCTCCTTCTCTGCATTTTCTTCTCTTAAGCTACTTGTACTCTGTGGTTTCAGTTGTGGCAGTTGTTTGTCAGCTCCGACAGGTGAAATTTTCTTAGGTGCATCGGTTTCCGATTCCTCCTGATGCCGTTGATTTTTCTTGTATTTGCGAAGCATCACCTTCACGTTAGTAGCTGGCGTCTGCTGAGCCTCTTGTGATTGCTTGTCAGTTTGGAGCTTAACTATTGTATCAGTCTTCATATTTATTCCTGTTATGTCCAGTGGCGGCTTTGGTTCATTTAATGTATGATTTGGTAGCGTCGGCATAGTTTCACGCTTAACGTTGACACGCAACTTGTGTCTAAATTTGGTTTTCAGTAGATAGTCGGTGTAGGCATTAATTCCACCATAGGCAGTGGTTGAATTGGTAGCCGAGTCAGAACAAGTGATGCTGCGACTATTTTCTACAGTGCCTCCGTCTGCAACTTGTGCTGTCAGCGCTGCCTGTGCGCTGTGGTTCCGTCCACTTTTGCGCTGTTTCCGAAACAGTAAATCTCGCTCACTTTGCTTCTCAGCTAAGTCCGACTCCTCATTGCATCCTTGCTCAAGTGTCTGGCACTCTCTAGGCTTTGTCTTCGCAAACGGCTCAGCTGAAGATACCGATGGCGATGATGTAGGCACTTGCAGATCTGCAGCTGCTGCTGGCGTTGTTGTTGCCGCAGCGACATCACGTACGTCAAGTGAACACCTTGTTGACGTTGCTGGCACAGGTGCATCAGTTGGCGATTTGTTTGCCTTTCGGTTTTTATTGAGCAATTTCCGAACATCAAACTTAATCACTTTCTTGCGAGAGCTGCGCCGGCAATCGTTTAATGTAGGCGACACTGTGGGCACGCATTCTGCGAAGCTCTCCGCCCCGATATCCTCGGCTGGCGTTTCGGTCCCAGTCGGTTGTGGGCTGCTCTTCGGAGGGCTGCCGAGACATTTGCGCGGCGTCGTTAATTTTGCCGGCGTTTTTGTCACTTTGCTTGACGTCGGTTCGTCCATTGATTTTAGTTGGCGCCAAAATCAATGTATAGGCACTTTGATTTAGCCGGCGCACAGTTTTAATACTACCATAAAATTGTTTAATTTACAAATTATAGCAGTTCACTTATTTGCAATTAAATTTGAAGTCTAATCAGAATACTCACATAGAATAAAACTACCAATGGACACAGATCCAAATCTTTTTCTTCTTCTTCTTTCGCATTTGTTTAAGTACTTGCAAAAACTTAACTGCTCAACTCAAGAAAATAGCAAATAAAAACCAAGTATGTAGGTCAAGCGTTGCCATACATTGTTCTATCGATATGGATATTGCAATTGGTTTTAACTGGCAAAATACGTTATCGATTGTCACTTGGTAATTTTAAAGAAATATATATGGTCACCAATTATTCATAGCAAAAATACACATAAACATCGATATTTCGATACAATCCAGACGGTCTTCTTAACACTATCAGCGCGCCTTTTCTTAAAACGCAGTTTTCTTATTATAAATAAAAATGCCACCAAAGCGAGCTAAAAAAGCTGCCCCTAAATCTGTGAGTATTATTACGTGCCCCTCTAAATCTAATTCATATTTAAGCATATATATTATCGTGAGTAGTCACCGGCAACAAGCGACGAGTCCAAGGCTCTGGATCCGAACAGTCCGGTGCTATATATTGAGCATTGTCGCTCTTGACGGGTCTTTCGTCGTCGCGCCGAGGAGTTACATGCTGCTCTGCAAAGTAAAATTCAAAATGCAGACCAGCCTTTCCAGCTCCAATTGCAACTTAATGCCCAGGGTGCACCCAGACGCGGAGCATTCGAGTTGTCCTTCGCCCCACATCCTACAACAATAGTCAACGAACAACAATCCCTTTGGTCCGGTCTGAAACGCACACCGCGTGCCCAAAAGTTTCCCAATATCGATGAAATATATCAGCAAATAATGCAGGCATTCAACAAGTTTACGGAGAAAACGAGCAAACGCAAACGCAAACGCTCATCATCATCGCCGCCAACATCCTCATCCAGTTTGCCAAAACGTGCAAAGGATGCAGCCATTGAGTCTCCAAAAGCAAAAGTCTCAAAATAATGTGATTTTGCATCGCTTAGTTAATTGACATCGATAGTTTTTCAGCAGTAGCGCCATATGATCATTGAACGGTAAATCCCCAACAGGAGCTGTTCTTTGTGAAGTTTTTGCCTGTAAGCTGAAAATCTTCTGACGTCATCCACTAAGAGCATCGCTTAAGATCACATAAATAATGAAGATGATTATTGATTGATTTTTATGGAATAAAATTCTATTAAATATAGAGCATTGAAAGAGCTTATCGTATATACATATACATACTTACAAAATAGATTGTGTTTCCATATAACGAGATTGTTATACTTAAGTTTCTCAATATTTGTCGTTTGTAAGTTGGATTCGAAATAAACAAAAACAAAATAGAGATCTGTTTAAAAATTGATTTATAATTACGAGTTTTATATACACATAAATATCTCATGTTTTTTATTCGTACACTTTTGTATTTGCCCAGCCAATTTTTTATGGTTGTGCTGTATACACTAAATACACATATTGGTGTACGTTCTTATAAAAAAAGCATGTATAGTCCAGATCTAAATAACTTCAAAAATTTGTCTAAAAGCCTTCCAAAGGTTTATAAAATTATGATTTTCAATTTTATTAGAACTTTTGTCTTTGATTTTCAAAATGTACAATATTCTTATTTGTTTTGTTTTTCTTTCTTTTTTTTTTTTTCTTGTTTGTTAAATTTGTATTTCAGCTCTCTCACATCCTTATGAAATATATTATATCCTATAGAAAAAATTTTGGTTTACGAAATTGTTTTTGTTGCGCTGGACTGGACTGAAACCCTTAAACCCTACCACACTGCCTAAGAATACATGGAGCCAATGAATTTGAAATTAGAACTTAATCGTATTTAATTAAATAAATGAAGTAAACAACAAAAAATATAATTCAAAAAAAAAAAAAAAAAAAAAACAATATTAAGTGTGAAAATATTGAATATGGCGGCAACAAAAACCATTTGAAATTTGTAAAGAATTTCGCCGCTTCGTTTCTTTACATTTGTTGTTTAAGTAAATTTGCATTACATATGTATAAATAATATGTATGTATGTACTGGATGTAAGTGTCTATGTGTTTGTTTGTATGTATATAGATTTATATATATATATGTATATAGGTTATCAACAATAAATTGGCTATGGGAACGTACAATTAGATAGGCGACAGAGTTACCAGTAGAATAAAAATTTTGCACGCCTGCTCGGATGTGTTTTGTCCTGGTTTGTCTGGTCTGGTCTAGTCAGGTGCTGGACTCGAATAAGGAACTAATAAAAACTAGGTCTTACGCTAATTTTAAATTACTAATAAGTTGAAAAAAATAGTAAATCGCCGTTTATGAAACGAATGCGATAAACAGTTAATTAGATAGATTGATAGGTAGGTTAGGTAGTGGGTGAATGTGGTCCATACGAAATGCCACCTACATGGGCTGATCCTAGCGTTACAGATACTTGCGATAATTGCGCAAATGCGCACTGCCATCCTCAACGCCGACGCCACCCACGCCAACGGCCGCGGCGGCACTCTCGAACGATGGCGGTTCATTAACCAGGCCCGGACTGGGCGGATCACATGTATTGCTGGGCATGCCACTGGTGCCAGTGGTGTTGTTGCCTGTTGGTGTACCCTTGGCACGTCGCCTGCCCCGTGTGCCAGCGCCGCGAGATCTGCGTCCACCGCTGGATGTCGGCGTACCGCCAATGTCACCCGCCTCAATCGCTTCCAGTGACGCATCCAGCGCCGCATCTGTGGTAGTAACGCGCGTTCGCGTCACAGCGCTGCGTCGGCGCGCGCTGTTGCTGTTGCTAGCAGTGGCAGTTTCGTTGCTGGCATGTGTCGATCCACGTTTGCCCGGCCGGCGTTTGCGTCGCTTTTTGTTACCATATCGCGGATCGTAATCGTATTCATCGTCTGCTGGAGACTTCGGATCCTCCAGCGAATCTACATCGTTCATATCCATTTCATCGTAGAACCACTCCTTGGGCAAATCATCTTTTGATTGATTCTGCTGTTGTTGCTGCTGTTGTTGTTGCTGTTGTTGTTGTTGCTGCTGCTGTTGCGTTTGCAATTGACTGTCTTTGCTATCGGATGTGTCACCGCCGGCGGCGCCCAGCGAACAAGACTCCTCCATGCTGAACGCTCCGTTGAAGTCATGCGTTGTATCATTATGCAGCGTGCTCAGCACGGTCGGCGTTGTCGATGCGCCGCCACCCGTCAGCATATTGAGGCTTAGCGTGGAACTGCTGCTGTTAGTGCTGGCTATGCTGGCAGTGCCGCTGATAGCAGTGCCACCAATATTAATGCCACTAGCCACTAGCGCTTCGTGCTCCTTGCGAAGCGCCTGAAAGGGGCGCTCGGGAAACCGGCTGCAAGTTTGTGGTGGAGTAGACCTAACATTAAGGTATAAGAATAACTTGTAGTTCAATGAGTACTCACCTGTACATCTTGGTCAAGTATTGACGGCGACTTTTACGCCAACGAGCCGCAGGATACGTGTAGATCTGGCCCTGGCGAAAGCCAGGCATTCGCTGTCGCTTGTCCATGAATAGCTGTGAGTGATTCTGCGCAACGCCCGTTTGTGGATCGAGGAATGGCAGTCGTAATCGCCGCTCGATGCAGAGGCGTGTGTTAAAATTGGCGCTATATTCGATCGTCTCACGGTAGCTGACATCCTTGAAAAAGCTTTCGATCTTGGCCAGATTCGGCATTGATACGATTTGTATGTTAACGGCCGAAGACATGACTCCGTACTGTTCCGGTGCTGTCCGCGCTCTCGCTTCACTTCCCCCTGGTGTATTGTTATCTGGTTGTGCGAGCAACGCTTAATCCATTTAAAACCAGCCCCAGCGGCTAGCGCTGAGTTGACGCTGCGCCGCTGCTGCTTGCGTTGACTTTTGTATTTTGTTTCTTATCTCTATTCGCCTGCTTTTTCACACCGCTTTCACTGTTTTCGTCTTTTGCAAATCTTATAGTGCTAGGTTGTGTGTGGCTGCTATTAGCAATGTTTTCTATGCGATATATCGCTACCATATAACAGGCCTGTGTTGTTTTGCATAGTTGCTGATGATTTGATCGATAGCTTCGACTTTAACGGTCATTTGTAATTTGTCAATTGTCAAATTTATTTTTTACTATTCAAATAAGCTAAGGTGTATTTAAAATTCGTAGCTATGTAACATTTTCTTTTATTATTGATTTAAAAATATCGCTAACATAGCCACCCTGGTAGCGATTGGTGTGGCAACTTTGGCACATACTGTTTTTGTTTACTGCTGACGTTGCCACTTTTGACGTTGACAGTTCATCGTGAGTGCGTGCACGAATGACTGGTGCGATTGTATGTGTAAGCGAGCGGGGGTCGGCCGCTTTTCCGTTTTAGTTGATTTTTAAAGCATTTAAATGGAGTTGCACAACAACATAACACTGCCAGCTATATTAATTGGGCTACTGCTATTATGCGGCTCATCCAACGCCTGGCACTCCGAGGAGCTGGAGATATTTGATCTGGTCGAAGAGGTCAACAAGAATTTCTACGAATTTATGGGCATCAATCAGACTGCCACGAACAATGAAATAAAGCGCGCTTTTCGCACCCTTTCCATTGTTCTACATCCCGACAAGAATCCGGCCGAGGATGCCAACATCCAGTTCCGCAACCTCGTCTCTATCTACGAGGTGCTCAAGGATGCATCGAAACGCGAGAAATACGACAAGGTGCTGCGCGATGGAATGCCCAACTGGAAGTCCGCTCTCTATTACTATCGTCGAATGCGTAAGATTGGCCTGTATGAGGGCGCATTCATCATATTCCTGATCATTACCGTGGGCCAGTATCTGTTTGCTTGGGCATCTTATCTTGAGACAAAATACACAGCTGAGCAGGTGTTCGGCACCAAACTGAAGAAGCTGCAGAAGCGCAACAAAAATATTGATATGGACGTCATTCTGAACGAGATCCCGATGCCTTCGTTGCTCAATACCCTGCCCATTCAAATCCCTCTCGCCATTTGGCATTTACCGAGAACAATTAAAAATGGATTTAGCAAAGCCAATGAGCTCAAGGAGCTGGCATTGGAGAAGCGCAGACAGTAAGTAAATGGAAATGATGATGATTCAGCTTGTGCATCAATTCAACAATATAATAATGCTTGCAGAGAAATTGAAGAGCAGCGTCGCCTACAGGAACAGGAGCGAGAAGCTGAAGAGCAGGCGCGTCTACGTAAAGAGCAAAAGGAAAATTTGCGTAAGCGCAAGCAGAACGCAAAGGCCCCGGAGAAGACCGAGGAGGAGTTACGTGGCTATTCACAAATACAGGCACGAGAGTTAACCGAAGACGATGCAATACGTCCAGTTACCCAAAAGGTATAATTATCATATATCAAACATGTATGTTTAATCTTAATTTGTTTTTATAAATTATGCTCAAAGACCACCGTCAGCGGCGGCTTTTGGACTGATGAGGATCTGACTGAGCTCATTAGGCTAGTTAAAAAATATCCAGGCGGTGCTGGCAGTCGCTGGAACACCATAGCCGAGTCGATGAACCGCACCGTACAAGAGGTGACATTCATGGCGGCCAAGATGAAGGAAAACGGCTATCGTATACCTGGCCAATCGGATAGCGTTGCCGCGCACATTGTCCAGGAATCCCAAGAGGCAGTCCGCAAGGAGAAGATCAAGAAGGCGACGCCCACCGTTAATGAGAAGAGCATGCTTATACCAGAGACTAACTGGACTCAGGATCAGCAGCGTGCCCTCGAGGCGGCCATCGTTAAATATCGAAAAACCGCCGGCGGCGATCGCTGGGTGAAGATTGCCAACAGTGTGCCAGAAAAGACCAAGGAGGAGTGCCTAGTGCGCTACAAATACTTGTGCGAACTGGTCAAGACACAGAAGAAGGCCGAGGTAGAAGAGGCGGAAGCGTCGAACATCGACGGCGAGGAGAAGGAGCCCCCTGTAGAGGAGACGCCAGCTGTTGTTGCTCCTGCTGCGCCAGCTAAAAAGCTCAGCAAACGCGAACAGCGGCGACGCAAACGCGACATGTCCAGTGAGGAGGACTCTGATGATGCATATCAATATGAGATCAGTTAGTTCAGTCGCTCGCATGATCTTTACCGTAGTCCATGCCTCAGAGACACTTCGTCCTCAATTTAATCCATATCGCAGCCAAGCACCAATTTGGCTTAACTTTAGCCAGAGCGAGAAGGGTCATGAATTAGTTGGGTATATGAATATGTATATGGCTATATTTCTATATATACTACCATGCCAAGGTATTAACCAGCTCAAACCCCATTTGAACTAAGTAAAATTGTTATGTTTAACGGCTTTTAATTTTATTTCTCCTATTAT